TTTTTGCTGCGCAGTTTCAATTACCATGATCAATTATTGATTCTTAACTTTATAAGACTATATTTCCTGTTTAGTTATTTTGATTTTACATTGTCAATTTCATAGTCAATTCTAGATATAATTATTCAACGAGAACTTAATTCTAAGATTTATTCTAAGAGTAACTCGTATCTGAACGGTAACAAAACTATGTTTATAGTACTTTCATGTGATTGCGTGTTTCTCGCATTATTTATCACAGTGATGAATGGATATCTTAAAATCTAACTTTTGAATATTTATTTAAAGAGGATTAAAAGAATATATATTTTAAAATAGTTCTTTTTACGACAGCTAGACATGAAATATTACTTTTAACTTTATAACTTTTTGGCTTAACACATTTTTTCCTTACCTCTTTTATTAGCTTTTAATTCTATTGAAATAATCACTTTATTATTAAGAGTATTAATTTTAGCATTTTAAATATAAAACTACACTATTAATATGACCGTCACATTAAACGTATCACTATTAACCATTGTTACGGTTATAACAATGTAATCTTTATTACTTTTGTTGCAAGAAACATCCATAAAATTCGTTTCATAACCAATTTTCATTTTATTTAGTATCGTAGTTTGATATGCTCTTAATTTAACAAGTACAGTAAAACTACGATATAACCGACCTCTTTAGAACGGTCTTCGGATATAACGGACAAAATAGATAGAATCGAGTTGGTTAGAATCCAACACGAGTTATTTCACAAGTTGCTGTATTTCATGTTCATAGATAAACTCGGGGTATTCCCCACGTTCTCTATACGATGTATAAATCAAGAAAGGTAGTTGTAGTTTTAATTGTTATTCAACCCTATATATTTTTCATGGAACTAAAACTAGAACTAACACTAGACCTAGAACTAGAAAGTTTCAGGTTTAGCCGTGCGTCTTCAGAGTCTTCAGTCCTAGTTTTGCACCAACACTTTTACTAGAACTAACACTATACCTAGAAGTAGAATCATTCGGGTTTAGCCGTCTTGAGAGACGTGCGGCTAAACCCGAATATTTCTAGTTCTAGGTATAGTGTTAGTTCTAGTTTTAGTTGTTATTTAGTGCTACGTTGTTGTATATTTTTATTGAACTAAAAGTAGAACTAACACTAGAACTAGCACTACAAACATTCGGATTTAGCCGTCTTAAGAGACGTACTTCTAAATTCGAATGTTTCTAGTACTAGATCTAGTGTTAGTTCTAGTTTTGCACTAGCACTATTACTAGAACTAACACTATACCTAAAACTAGAATCATTCGGGTTTAGCCGTCTTGAGAGACGTGCGGCTAAACCCGAATGTTTCTAGTTCTAGGTATAGTGTTAGTTCTAGTTTTAGTTGTTATTTAGTGCTACATTGTTGTATATTTTTATTGAACTAAAAGTAGAACTAACTAATAGAGAACGCAACGATGTGGATAGCTGGTCGAATTTGTGTGCTTCATATTACAAATAAGACATAGTTTTTAATTCAATTTATAAGAACGATTTTAATTTAATAAAACTTGACCAATATATTAGTTTACTACTACCTGCATAGTGTTCTAATTTAGATAAGCGCTTGGGAAAAGAAGCTTTCGTGGAAATTTGTAGTTTGTATAATCAAAAAATAGCACAGCAAATTCCTCGAATGAGAATTTTACGGCAACTCGGAAAAAGAATGACATAAACCGTAATTCAATTGGACACCGTACCGTAATCCGATTGGTGCTGTTGTTGATATTGTAGTGGACGAAAGTTTTAATCCCAACATTTTGGAAAAGCGTAATTGCGTGACGCGTTTTTTGGATTTATGAAATTCTCACTCAACTCAACAGATTATTTTTTTTTTCGTTTTTTTGGCGAACGTTCAAATCTTTATTTTTGGTAACATTCAGATGGTTTTGCGATTGTTGTGTCAGATGTGAAAAGTATTTTGATACATGTAAGTGTGAAATTTGAAGCTTAAATGGATAAATAAGGTATTTTTTTTTGTTAGATAAAATCGATTACAAGTTACTTAACAACGTGAAATTAATAATTTCTAGCTTTTATCTCACTTTAATAGATATTCCAAGCATTGCTTTCGCCAGCAAAATATTGATTGATATTTCTAATAACTAAATTTTCAGAATTATTCTACAAACGACACGTGTAATAAAATAAAACCTTATTTCAGTAATATTTGAAATGTTTGGAAATACGATTCAATTCACAGTATACATTACGTATTTATAGAGTGACGTGGTATGTTCGAATATTAAATTAAAATCAATGTAGCTTTCGTGAAAATTCCCGGAATTTTCAACGGGAGAATCGCGGTATGCACGAAATTGCACGAAACTGCGGTTCAGTTCAATTTGGTGCAAAATCAATGTTGCCGTTAAGAACATCCCATGGCCAAAAATATCTACGCAAATTTTATAGGGATATCGCGTGGTGCATGCAAACCATGGAGATGGTTGTGTCTTTTAATGGTGAATATTGGGTAGTAACCGAATTAGGGGTTGTTCAATCTCAATTTATATTCATTTCACACGACAAAAAAAAAGTTCTGTTTTTCAGTTTTATAAATCGAAATTATCGGGCTAAATTGACTTTCAAAATACTTTTCCGGGCTGTAATACCAACCAACGTCCTGCATGAGAATGTTTTCAAACCCATAAAAGCAGCACTGCATTGGGAACACGGTGCTGATAACGGGCTTTAAAGGAAATTGTATTTACGTAAATATGACCCAAATATTACATCGTGGGCGTTTAATGAAACTTGGAGAGTACGAAATTTCGTTTGACTTTAAATTTATAAAGTTTTGAAACACTTCTTTTTTTCAGTTACATTTAAGTTAAATTTATGTTGTATATAATAACAAGACCATTTTAATTTCTGCCAACTTTAGCTGGTTTACAACAAATTTTAGATCCATTTCAATTAATTCTAGCTTTATTTCAATCAAACCTAATTTAATTTGAACTTCCGCATTCTTCATTTACTCAAAATTAGCTTTTGAAATTTACAGAAATGAAAGTAAATTTTTTATTTTTAAACTGTGTACTTGTTTATGGTAGATTTATGAGATCGAAATGTTATGACAAGCTCAAAAGTGTATCATACTTTTGTATTATGTGTGTAACTTTTTTCCTACTTAACTTTTTGATCTAAAATTCTCACACACAGTTTCGGGAGGTATTTCACATGCTTCAAACATGTTTTGAAGATCAAATACACACTAATTTTTATAAACAAAATAATTTATTAAAATAACGCAAAATGATAAATCCATCAATCGTGAAAACACAAGATATTTCCAAAAGCTCTGAACTCTGGAGTAGAGGTTGTAGAGTTGAGGTTCGGAGACTGGCTGGGCCAGTTCATTACAGCCCAACGAGTCTCGGAGTGTTCAGTCTTCTCTTGATCCACAGAGGGCTGTGAAACCCAACCCAACCAAAACCCAATCCAACCTAACCCAACTCAACCCAACCAAAACCCAACCCAACCCTCTACCTGCAATCCACAACTCGTTCACTGCTCATAATTCACGTTCAATGTCCACTGCGTCAATGTCCTAAATCTGGGATTGCTCCTACTTAGCTGTATGGCGTTCCTGTCATCGAGGGGAGTGGTAATTTTTGGTCTTCCTAGACGTTTTTTCATCACAAAGCCTCCCTGGGTTCCCAAATTCTTAAGACCTCTGGATACAGGAGACTGGGTGATCGAAAACTGCGCTGCTAGCTGCGTCTGTGTCTTCTTCTGACGCCAGCTTTTTACGATCGCCTTCTGCATCCTGTGTTCTTTCATCTTCCCATGTTTGTAAACCCAGAAAAATAAAGTCTCATATGTCCGAAAATAAATTTTCGGAAAAATATTGAAGCAGCTTTAAGTTTAGAAATATTGTGTGGGAAAATGATTTTGATTGAAAATTTGATACACTTTTGTGCAGTACTGTATTTAATTCAACAATAGGTGACTTAATTATAAAATACAAAACGTAAAATTAACTCGATTTAATTACTAAATTGGAACGTTGTAGGTTAATTACGGGACGTTTACAGTTTCGTACTTTGTGAATTACAGCAATTCTAGAGGTGCTCACCATGTTTTCGTTTACATGCAAATTTATCAAGGCTCGTTTATTGACGTAGCTAATTTGTAATTTGAAATAGCAAACTTTTACTTTTCGCCCCCAACCGTGTTGACTAAAATAGAGTAGTTGGTGATGACGTTTTTGTTTGAAAAGTTTACTTTATGAGATAAAAAGTCCAAAACGTATAAATTTAAAAAAAGTTAAATATAAAATTAAATAAAAACGTGATTACATGGGAGATGGCATGAGATCAAAAAGGATTCCACATAGGTCAGTGCGCAAAGCTCGTAACAGTATTGATTTTGATTCTGCACTAGATAACGGGTTTCGAAAGCGGTTTCCGCTATCAATCGGTCAAATGCGTCGCATTAAGCTCATTAACGGTTTAATTAAAATTTCTTAATCATCAACATGATATTAATTAAAAAATAAATTGAAATTAAAATTTTCTATTTTATTTGATTCTTTTATATTGTTAAAGACATAAAATTTAATTCTTATTTGTTGCGAAATTGTGTTTGGTAAAGGTTTTACAAGGATTTGTGGGTAAAGATTTAGGACTCTTTGAAAATCCTTCCTTAGCTACTTGAGGAGACAACTTCCTAAAGTTATCGATTGGGTTTTAAAATATCTAACGTCAGCTAAACTGTGAGTGGTTGTAAAACTTTGAAAGAAATCACAGCAAATCTCTGAGATTTATACATCATCTCTTAAGATATTTTAAAATCTCCTTAAAATTAGAAAAGCTTTAACACATCATATAACGTATATGATATTCATAACATTTAAAATTTTCACCCACTTGAATAACATTGAGTTCTTCCACGCTAAACTGAATAACCCAGTTGAATAAATGAATATAATTTGAATTTATTTTTAGAAATTAATTTATTTTGTTCAATAGTTTACAGATTGATAAATGGCAATGGACCAGCACAATTTGGTGCTGTGTCGAAGGTGATCACCGTGCGGTTATGGGGCCAAGGCTTCAAAGTCGTGGCCCTGCATCAAAATCGTCATCAAAGTCACCATCAGATCCATCGTCAAAGTCGCCACCATAGGAAACCGTACCAGCGAGATCGTGATCATGATTCATCCGCGGGACACCTCGACGATGATCGCTTTCGGCGGTTCAGAAGACGAGGTCATCTTCTCGCTGGAATCGCTCACGCAAGCAGCCATAATATTTATTATGGGTGTGGCGATCATCGTTGCGAATGTCCTAGTCATTGCTACTTTTGTCAACTATAGAGGTATGCATAAAACACGTAATTATGAATTTTTATTATCTTTTAATACGTCGTGTGCTAATCTCTCTTTATCTGTGCAGTAATTACTGCGTATATTGCTTATTATTTATTTGTGAAAAGCTTTCGCAACGGTCGTTAGCTTAATTGATACTGCCGCATTGGGCTTTACTCCGTTTTACAACGATCTGGAAAATTGGAGGGCTTTAAACATGTATGTTTTAGATGGTTGGCTTCCTCTATTTACGTTCAATTAGGGTTACGTTATTTCTGTTCAGGGAAATGTATTTTGTTTTTGGGGTTTGGCATAAAAGCAAATGAGTTCTTTAGGATGTCAATAAAGCTTTGGTTCAAAATCTACTATTCTAACTTGTCCTATTTAAATACGAACAAACAATTTTAATAATATAAATTTGCAAAATTATACAGCATATATGATTCAACATTTAAAAATACTTATACAAATACATTAATAAAAATGTATTAAAACATGCATGATTACAAGATTCAAGCTTAGGTTTTATTGAGAGCGCTCTTGTTACATCGAAGCTCCTTCTTCGTGTTTTCTAGTACTAATCAATTCTTTTTCTAGCGAGGAGAAGGGTTGTTAAAAAATTATCTTCTACTTCTATGGCTCTACAGATCAAGTCGTGCCCTTGCCTCCCTTAATCTTTGTTTCCACTCTTCCTTGTTCGACGCTGTCCCTTTTATTTATTTCAAAACACTCACTATCTTGATTAAATTTCCAAAAAGTATTTTTTTTTTGTTTTATGGCATCCTTTGGATGCATCTGATATACATCTACTTGCTGCTTCACGGGTGTATAAGATCCGTTTAACTAAATTTGCGGTTAAACGTTTTCTTCTTTCCTCGTGGCATTATCCACTTTGAAATTATCAGCGCTTATATCTAAGTTTTTCAAAAAATTTAACTTCTGCGCAGAAATGTCGATATCCATGTCTGCTTTTAAATATTGCTCTCCGTAATCTTCATCTTATCCACGAACACTTATTGTAGGTATTGAGTAGGTGTTTCACATTACTCTCGATATTATCATAAAGTTATAGTATTTTTCTTACAGTAAACAGATGCCATTTCATGTGATGCAGACGATTTTATATTATCGACAATATTTAGCAAAATATTCTTCACGAACTTACTATACAAGCTTTATTCATTTCTGCTTTATTTTCACCTTTACATTTCCTTTTTTAAGTTACCTTCTTCCGACAGAGATTTGATCGACCCATTTTATATAAGAAACATGTAAAAATGGCTTAAATTAAAACATATTTACATGTGTTTTAATTTAAGTCAAGGATGTCTCCGATTAGACGCAATATGTGTTAATCAATATTTTGTTGAGATGGTAATTATTCTATTTACTGTCTTAATAAATACAAAATTAATTGCTCCTAATTATTGTAATTATAGTCGAACGGAAAAGGCCAGGAAGTTAGTGAGCAGCATAAAATAAGATTTATGACTTTATTTCTAATTACTTTAAATGATGATCTTTTAATTGTATTGTGTATTATGCACATGTTATTTTTTTAAATTCGCTATAAAGTTGTTTTCTTGAAGGATCCTTGTGGAAATATTACCAATTATTAATTAAAGTATCCTCTTTTTAATACAAAAAGCCGTTTTGAAAAATTTTGAAAAATTTTTTGAAATAATCGACAATTTTTTCGAATTTTGTAATTTCCGCCGATTAAGTTTTAAAAATTCGTATAAAATCCATTTCTTGGAATAAAAGTATGAAAATTTCCCAAAATGTTAATAAAAGCGCCCTCTTTCCAATGAACCAACATGTTTTGAAAAATAACTTTTAGTTTTTGAGGAAATAACATTTGCAGTTTTGATAAAATTTTCGATATTGCAATATTCATCGATAACTTTCAAAATTCGCTATAAAATTAATTTCTTGAAGGATTCTTGTGGAACTATCACCAATTATTAATTAAAGTATCCTCTTTTTAATACAAAAAGCCGTTTTGAAAAATCACTTTTAGTTCTTGAGAAATAAATTTTTAAAATAATCGACAATTTTTTCGAATTTTGTAATTTCCGCCGATTAAGTTTTAAAAATTCGTATAAAATCCATTTCTTGGAATACAAGTATGAAAATTTCCCAAAATGTTAATAAAAGTGTCCTCTTTCCAATGAACCAACACGTTTTAAAAAATAACTTTTAGTTTTTGAGAAAATAATATTTGCAGTTTTGATAAAATTTTCGATGTTGCAATTTTCATCGATAACTTTCAAAATTCGCTATAAAATTAATTTCTTGAAGGATCCTTGTGGAAATATCACCAATTATTAATTAAAGTATCCGATTTTCGGAATCAGTAGTGTGTATTGTTAAAAGTTAAATAGAAATAATTAGGTGCAATTTATCAGGTGTAATCTTACAATTAGCATCAGTTAACTAAAGGAATTAATTGGCATATGCATATGGTATGGTATCGATTGAATGATTTGCAAATTAGGTACCCAGCAGGTGTAGTTGATCGATTGATTGAATGTTGAGTGACGCCGTTCCAATTAGTTTCACCGACAGTTTTCCTATTAATTATAAATTGGAATTGATTTTATGACTTCAAAAGCAATTTCGAACGTTTGAATAACTACTACTACAAATGTTCTTCAAGCATAAACAATGTGTCGCATAATGAGCTGTGTGCATATTACAGATGTTATGTTGGAAAGCGATACGTTATTTCCAGTACAATTTAATTTTGGCTTATAGCCAAGAGTATATAAATTTAATATATTTAGCAAAATAATAATCGATAACCCCACAATTTAACCTTCACTCTGGCGTTTTGCCGCGATATAAAGCCCATTATTTTATATCACATGCACCACGGTATTTTTATTGTCCCGTATTTGGCAGATAAATTACGGCTTGCATTTTATGATTCATATGCGTGAAGCTAACCGGTATGACCTTAAAAGCTTTTCTTCTGTGAATTATTGCTAAAATGTAGCCGAAAAATGTTCCCTCTAATATCATTTTTAAATCGATATTTCAACTATGTGAATCACGTTAAATTTCACTGAAATTCAGAAATAAATTGTGAAATTCAAGCTTTGTACGTTGGTTTTTCGCAGTTTTCAATTAATCCTTTGTAGTGTAAATCAACAATAACATATGTAAACAAGATTAAATTTCGCATTAAAACATTTTTGCTTATTCAAAAAAAAGGAACATAAAAATATGGGGAGAAAAACAAGATGATATTTATTATCGCAAAAACAACTATAATTCTCGAATTCGATTCTATAAATTATGAAACCGAGCAAGCGGGAACTAAATGGCCATTTATCAGAGACGTACGTCGGGTACAGCGGGGAGAGATATCTTACCGAAAGTTTGCGAGGGCCTTGAATGGAAAGTTGGTGGAAACATCCGCCACATTTTCACGAAAAGCACTTTTCTCGCTCTCTCTCGGATTAACATTTGTTCCGGTTGCCGACGACGGATTCAAAGAATAACAACTATTTTTAAAAGAAACTCAAAAGATTTCAAGAGTCGATACTTACTTTAAGAATTTCAACACTTTAATACTAGAATATAATTTACTTATAATTTTGTTTGCTTTTTAGGCCAAACTGATGTCATCAACTGTTACCTACTATCATTATCCGTCGCGGATTTACTCTGTGGTTTATTGGTCGTTCCACTTTCCGTATATCCAGCACTAGTTCAACAATGGGTTTATGGAAATGTTGTATGCCGTATAGTTGGTTACGTAGAAGTAACGCTTTGGGCGGTAACCGTTTACACCTTTATGTGGATAAGTGTGGATCGATACTTGGCAGTGAGGAAACCACTTCGATACGAAACCATTCAAACCAAAACTAGATGTCAATGTTGGATGGCTTTCACATGGATTTCCGCAGCGATGATGTGCTGTCCGCCACTATTAGGTTTCAACGAACCAAATTTCGACAAAGAATCCTACATCTGCATGTTAAACTGGGGAAATATGGCGGCTTATTCGATCACTTTGGGGATTTTGATCTTAGGTCCCAGTTTGATTACGATCATTTATACTTACACCTACATTTTTAATATGATGAGGAAACTGAAAAGCGGGGTTCCAATCCACGATAAAGAATACGCGACGGCGTTGTCGGAGAATCTGTCGAATCCGAGTCATATTATGTCGTTTGTACTCGTCGCTGTATTTTGGATTTCGTGGACACCGTTTGTTGGGGTCAAATTGTACGAGTACTTTACTGGTGTTAAGTTCCAAATGCCGTTCCTTCATTTTGGTATTGTTTGGATTGGATTTATGAACTCGTTGTGGAAGTCGTTAATTTTGATTTTTTTGAGTCCCCAATTTCGACTCGCTCTAAGGATTTTCTGTATGACGATTTGTTGTCGATATAAAGGACGTATGCAAGCTGAACTTATAGGTAAGAATTAAATTTTGTTTGTCTCTTCGCCCATAGAAATTAATTATACAAAGCCATCAAAAATGATTAATTTAATGTAAATTTTTTTAATATAAAATGACTTTTTTATAGATTTTGGTCGACGTTTTCATTAATAAAAATGGTATTAAAAAATTGATGCCTTATTTGTAACAATAAGTATTAAAGGTAAATATATAAATTGTATTGTTGTTGAGCACATTTGTTGCATATTTGTGTTATATATATGTGTAATACTTATGTTAACTAATGGCTTTGTGTGAAATTTAATTATTGATTAAGAAGTGGTTAAAATTAATTAATCAAATCGAATTTTGTGAGATCTTCATTAACTACTTAAAATACTCTAACTATCTCCTAATCTGATAAAGTTTTCTGTGTAACTCTAATGAGGTTATTAAAACCATTAATGATTAAATTAATTTTTCATTATAGGTATGGAAGCAGACGACTGACTACCCTTTCCTTTTGGTGGATGTTTTCCATCGACCCGATTTCCTATAACTGGACTCTTTGTCAGAGACTACGAGTATATAATGGCCAAGATCCGTCGACTGTATAACTACTGAATTAAACAAAACAAAAAATAAAATAAAAGAATAAAAAACTAATTTAACAAAGCTTACGAAAACAGAAAATTTAAAAACATCAATTGATAAAACCGTTGTTATGACTAGAGTTTATCGTCGTAGCTTAGATCGTAAAGACAAAAGCAGTCAATTATAGTTATTACATTCATATATTTGTATATTAATTAATTTAATGATGAAATTCTCGATAAAGTAAAATGATTATATAATTACTATTTAGTGATTTTAGCAGCGCATTTTACCTCGGATATAAAATCAAAGTGACTAAAAGTAAAATCAAAAAGTTTTTTAAAGTACAAATTTTTTCGTTAAGATCTTAATCATCTATTTTTCCAAAATCTGATTACTTTAGTGATTATTTTTTTAATACTGCATAGGATAACACCAATACACACATCTTTGGTAACTTAATCATTTTACTAATCTTACTTAAAATTTTATTAATTAATTAATTACGTGCATTTAATGTGATACCTCTCAAATGAACAATAAATTATCAGGTCGTTAACATACGTGTTGCTTATATCTTTTTCTTTAATGTTTAAATAATAGATTTTTCTTCATCTTTAAGTTAGTTGCTTTTAATAGACTACTAACCATGTATCGTTGCCAAAGATGAAATTATACATTCCAATCAAAAAAAAGTAAAACTAAAAACTATATATTCGCATTTATTGTACAATTTAATGTTATAGATGTGAAACAATATGGATATCAACGAAACCTTTTTATAAGTGTAATTTACGAATTTAGATCTGTAAGTGAAAAAAAAATTTTAATGTTACTATTATTGTTGCAGTGTGAGATGAAGGATAAATGATGATGTGTTATGATTTGGAAATGAATAGGAAATTTAAACAATCTTTTTATTCACTAAGAATTTATTATTTTATCAAAGCTTTAATACCAGCTGCTATGGGAAGACCTACTTGAGCTCCTTTTACTGCACCATTACCCTTCAAAAAGAAATTTAAACTAAAATCGGTTATAATTTTTGAACATAAAAAGGGAAAAGTATAATTATGTTAATTTTAGGCTGATTACGAATTTTTTTCAACACTCAATTTTCTCTTATTTTTATAAGGCATCAATACATTAACAAGATTTAGATAAACCACAATATTTATCATGGTTAGAAACAACGTTTGTTTAATTTATTTCTTCTTCTTCTCTTTGTTGGGAAATGTGTACATACTCCAAGAAAAGTGGTAAAAAAAGTAAATAGAACGAACTCTATTAAATAAAAAATATTAAATGGTATGGTCAACACTCAACTTTCTCACATTGATGATAAATTAGCAACCTTTTCTGATAAAAAATACATTTGTTGCAAGTTTAGTTAATGTGGAAGACTAAGTCACATGGAGAGCTGGTTTCCGAAATATAAGAACTCTAAATGAAAGAATGATAGATGATTATTAATTATGGGGAGCGGATTTCCCCTATTCTATATATTTATAACTTCAATGCTCATGTTTCTAAATTTGTTAGGCAGTTGTGCATTGTACTCACTTTTACCAAAATCGAAGGAAAACTTGGATACTTTTTAAATTATCACTTAGAAAACAATCAAGTTTAGCATTGATTAAATTCGAAATGACCTTCCAGTTGTTTGAGGTTGGGTTAGGATTAGATTTATGAGTTGGATATGACCAGTGTTAAGTTAGATTGTTATTAAAAGGAATTATAAATGGGTGAGGTTTGACTGGAATTAGATTGATTCCTTTCAGAGTAAATTTCTGAATACCAAATAAAATAATTAGAAAAATTAAGTGGTTTGTAGTCATGATTAGAAAAATTCATTACAAAACCATTTCTTCTAAATCAATGCTAATTCATCATTGTTAGTTTTTACTGGGTTCATCTTTAGATCTGCCTCACATGACGTAATCCAACCTCATAGCAAATGTTCTGTCGATTTTTTGGTAACTACTTTTATGTTGTCTTGGTAAAAATGTGTTTTGTTAGTGTGGTATGTATGTTCTGGCCAACATTGCTTTTCTATAAAAGAACATAGTCTGAGGCTTTTAGAGGTATTAAGAAGAAATCGCCAATTAGTTGCATTTTACTAAGTGATATCTCTCTCTCTACATAAGACTTAAATTTAACACATATAGAGAATAAAACAAAATACAAAGTCAATCCAATCCGATATTTCGCAATTTTGAACAATATACATTCAATGGTTGTCTCTGCATAAGCCGTGCTTTGGTCGAATCCTGTTAGCAGTTTTCCAGATGCGGCAGGGAAGTCAAAATCAATTGACTTGCTGATGTGTTCACGTGTCGGTTTATTTCCGGGGCTTATTTCCCCAATTCCGTTCTATGTTAAAGTTCTCATTGAGTAGAGTCTTAGCTGTCTTATAGTCTACAGCAGGGTTGGGTTGGGTCTAAATTTGATCATGGTGCATGAAGCTGCTTGAGCTTTGGAATGTAACTGAGCGTAGAAAGCCAGTGTATGGGAGCAGTTTTTCTGCAGCCAGTGATTGTTCGCATGGTGAAATTTATGATGAGCAGTATTCGGCAAACTGTAAAAATCCTAGAGCCGAGTACCGCAGGGTTGAAGCTGTTCTGGGTTCTATCCAAGATCACACCTAGGTACTGTGGAGTTGGTTTGTGCGCCACAGGGTGACCACCAAATTGAATGTCTAGTTGATGTGACCTGTTTGTTATTCTTAGTGAGACCTAAATCATACACTGAATCATTCAATTTTGATAAAATGAATTTCTTAAGGACACATGACTCTTCCATATCAAATCACGAGTTCAAATTTATTCTGCAACTTGTTCATCTTCAGATATGCCTCATATTTCCAATCAACCTTTGCGATGTCCGGGTACAGATAGTGGTTAGTTAGTGTGCTCTGTATGTTCTGGTCAATATATTGAAGCTTTGTTCTTTTAAAAGCTCGTCACTCTAGTATGCACATAGAATTCTAAAGCAACTCCAATTTAACTAGATTTAGAATAGATCTTACAAATAGATCTCAAATCATCTTTAAACTGTCATGAAAAGGTTCTTAAATAATTCCTAAAAATACTTTTGTATGAAATAAATAAACTTTTCTTGAAAATCTGAGAAAAAATTCGTAATAAGTATCTAAAATAAACTTGAAAATACTTTTTCTCAACTCGTGCTCAAGGATGAAACTTTGTACTTGTATTATTAAAAAGATCTTTTTAGTTTACTCACAATTTTTTTCCAATTTACTTTCTTTTTCTTCTTACAATAAACAATATTATTAATCATTGCTATTACAAATAATATTAATAACAAGACATTAAAAATTTTCATCTTAACAATTAAACAATACACTTGATAATAACAATATGGTTATTAAGAGTACGTAAAAAATCAGTTAAAAAAGCACTGCAAAAAATAATTAAACAGTCCTATCAGGTAATAATAAATACAATTAGATGTTGTATAATTTATTTAAAAAAAATACAAATTTGGGACTTCAACCGAAACTTATATTGCTCAATTTGTTTTTGCTGTTCGTAAAAGGGCGTGCAAATTAGTTGTAATAGTACAGTAGAGAATAAAAAATTTAAAAATAAATTGATTACTTTAGAAGCTATGTATATTATGGCGTCAAACAATCAATGTTGTTCGCTGTTGCTCGGTTTTCATTAATTCATAAAAAAGCTGCGAAAATATTCTCTTATTAGTATAAGTATAAGAAATTTTGGCATCTAGTTAATAACAACTGTGACATCAATAGCAATTTGAAATTGAGCAATAGCCAATAAAAGTTAAATAAAAAAGTAAACTGAAATTAATAAAATAGAGCCAAAATTTGTATATAATCATATAATATTTTATGGAACGAATGTGCTAATACTTATAAAATTTATGCATGCGAAATTTAGAAAAAACCTAGTTACAAAAATCTAAATGTGTTTAACTTAAAATTTATTTTTAAAACAATTTTATTAAAAAAATATTTGAAAAATTCACTTTATTGTATTTATATTAATAAAAATTGTATCGCTTTTCTAGATAACATAGATAATTATCTATTATAATAGAGGCCGTTTATAACCATAAATATTAAATTATCGGCCATTTCGTGATTAAAATATCCCCGAAAATATGCAAATGACACTATAATATTAAAAATTTTAATGAAAAATGCGTTTATTAACGAAACGAAAAACTTTTAAATAACTTACATTTAACTTAAATATATACAACGTATCCGTGTATAACGTACTTAAAAAGAATAAATTTATGTTTTGAATTTATCGTTCTGACGAGTCAAATCCTGCTGAATCCAAGGTGCAGGCGGTATATGTTTCCAAATGGCCTATTTCATCAAGGGCGCACTCTTGGCAGGCTTCAGTCAATTACATTTTTGGAGGAAAATATAAAAATAAAATCTACCCAAAAAAAATTTAATCCATTTTTATTATTCCTCTAAAAAAGTAAATAATACTAAAACACGTTGCTTGCTACGTATAGCGCTTTTTTGAAAGAAAAAAAAAATAATAAACAAGATCATGATAATTATTATATCTTATTTAACTGAAAATAAATCCATAATAATAAAATAAAACTATTTATGGAAATAATGTGTCTGGAAATAAATAAATAAATAAACAATCAAGTTAAAAATGTACAAGGCACAAACCAAATATATAAATAAATAAAACTATTATGTGTCAAAAATGTTTTAAATAAACATGTAACATTGCTGAGAGTGCAAGGGTTGATACTAGAAGAATTATTTATTTTCATAGAAATAAAAGTTTTAAATTACATGTTATTTACATAACTAATAATAATAATAGAAGATAAAATTACGGTCATCGTTGTAACCCTTTCAAAAAACTAATGACCTCTTCTTTATATTACTTATTAGATGTACCATTAAAAATTAGTACACAATTAAAGTGTACTATTAAAATGTACTAAATTAGTAGCGTTCGTAGTGCTCTAAATAAAAAAGAAAATATTTAATTACAACATTTGTAGTATGTTTGAGAGACAAAAAAAACAAAAATGTAATTTATATATTGTAGATAGATTTAGATGATGAAGGGAAAATTATTTAAATACGGTTAAAACGTAATATATGAACGTTTTTGAGCTCACTACAGTCTAATTTTGTACGTAGCACGCTAGTTTTGTACCATAGATATTTGTATGATAAATGTATAAATTTTTTAGAATTACGGGAAAGTGTTCACATGTTATAGCTTCGAATATACAATTATTTTAAATAAAATGTTTCCTGAACTACAATAAAATAATCTTTTTATTATTAACATTATAAATTTAACTAATAACAATTTTATTATAACGAATTAATAATTAAATAACAAACTTTGTGTAAATTGTTTTGTATTAACTATAAATAACATAAACAACAAAATAACAATTCAATTAATTAAAAAAACAAAATTAATTAAACAAATTTAGCTGCTTTCATTTCATTTCTTACACATTGTTGATAATTTTTCCAAGAATGTTTTTCGTTCGAAACAAATCCTCTGTTGATTCTATTTCTCATAACAATAACAAATTCATTATAATCCAAAGAACCATTTTCACCATCGAAAATGGTAAAAATTAAATCAATTAAATGTTGGGTTAAATCACATCCGCAAATTTTCGAAATTTTATTAAAATCTTTTTTGGAAATTGAATGTTGCGCAAGTTTAAACATCCTAAAAGCAACACTAACATCATCGAGGTTTGTTAATAATTTGTTAAAGCTTTCGAATTCTTTAAAAGTAATACCAACGGGGTTTCTTAAGCGATTTAATACTTTTTGTAAACACTGCTCGTACACGTTCGTTTCGAGATTGGAATGTTTTAATAAAATTTTAACGAAATCTAATTCGGAAATTTTATGCGAATTGTTCGAATATTGATTAAATTCGAATCGTAACACTTCGTTTTGAAAGTTTATTATAAATTTGTGAAATTGTTCGTATGTTAATTTTTTAGTTCCATCAACTCCAAAAAAATAAATTATTAACGTCGTATCTTTAAAACAATTTTTGTTTAGATTTTCTTTCGATAACAATTTGTGATTAAAAACATTTTCCATAATTAAAAATTCATTTTTTCCGATAGTTCGATTTTTATCCGTATCGAGCATATCAAAAGCTATTTTAAATCCAGATTCGGCTTTTTTTAATATCGATAATAAAAATAGATATTCCATATAAGATATGATTCCTTTATTATTTGGGATATCAAAAATTGGTGAGATTAATTCATTTTTTTGTAAAATTCGTGTTTTCTTTTGTAAATTTGGTTCTATTTCAATCAAGGATTCCATAAAATCTTTTGGAGTCATAAATAATTGGTCCTTGTATTTGATCGAAGCGAATTTTATAAATCTTTTTTCTCTCGATGATGTTTTTTCGTTTAAATCTAATTTAATTTCGTGTACATTTTTAAAAATATTTGTATAATAATAAGTTGTGTAAATAAATGTTGCACCACCAAGAAGGGTTAAGAAATGATATGGTTTTATAAAATATTTGGACGCAATTTTTGTTTTTGGAGCGTGATAAACATATTTAAATCGAGTTAATGTTTTATTTGATAAAAATCGTCTTAATATACCAGACATTGTTTATTGTTTAGATTTAGATTTAAATGATGTGATGATAACTGAAAATAAAAAAAAATAGTTTAAATTCTAAAAAAAATTTTTAATTTTTTAAATTGTCTTTGATATGTAATGCAAATTAAACTCAACAAGCTTATTATCTTGTAAAATAATAAGATAAGAGCCAAAAATTAACTAATTTCTATTAAAAAATTTCTTTTTACTTTGTAACATTTAAAATAAATTGATCTAATTATTGATCTATTATATTAAGAGTCTTACCGTTCCAATTTTTTCCCCATTTTTCTAACTAATTAATTTATATCGACCTTTGTCTCATTTTCCATCAGATTACACACATTATATTGTTTAAACTGCAAGTACCCAAGGTTTTCCCATTCGTTCATATTAATCCCCACCACTGTGAAATAATCAACACTTGTAAATACTACTTATTCACTCAAGGAATAGAATGATGATCCCCTTCCATCGTTTAGTTTAGTTACGTTCGACTTCGACCGCGATTCACGTTGAATCTGATAAACAATGACGACGTATAAGTATGCAATTATCTGATAAAATATGCTTTGTTATGACGGAAAAGAAATTAAAACGACGAAATATTTAATGTAATTATGAATTATTCAACAAGTAGTGGTAAGATCTTTATTATAAAAGAAGTAAAAGAACGAATTAATTTTTTTTTTGGTTGAGAAAGTAGTTATAAGTGGTAATTCAAGAGAATCAACTCCGCTGTTGGAGTCGAATGGAAATCATTTGAATTATTTTTATATTTTGACTTTGTTCTTAATACTTCTCCTGGGAGTTTCTGCAGGAAGTTATTTATTACTTAAAGGTATGTTTAAATTTAATTCGTTATGTTTTTTGAACTATCTTTGTTTATTGACTCATCGTAATACATGATTCATTTTCTTATTTTATACGACGCAAACTATTCTTTAAAACCATTAAGAAAAGGGAATTTTCCGGTTATTCAATAGATTTAAAATAGACATGAATAAAAGAATGAAATAATGCAGATTCAATAAAAAATGCTTTTGTTCAGATTGCATTATTAGAACCTTCTACCAGTTCAGTGACTTGTATAATGAACATAAACGGAGTTAATTTTAGCACAATAATAAAAATATTTTAGTTATTTATTTTTACTCGTTAATAACAGTTATATAATAACAATTATATAGAATACAACATAATTTATTATTAATGTAAAAATAAATAAATCAATTTAGTTCTATTTTTACACTTCGACGAGCAATTCTTCCATCGTTATCAAGATAAAATGTTGTCTTTTTGCAATCGCAGTAACTTGTTGATCTAGATTCCGTCTTATTATTTTATAATTACTTGCATTCGCCAATTATTGCGTTGTTGACCACCTTTTCCAGAAATTTTGAAACTCTATTGCAGTTGCTAAAAATTATTTAACCGATCTAAAAGCTAAGTTTTGCTAATTTGTTAATGACTTGCCAATTAAAAAATGATCTGGCTTAACTTAAGGTATGTGGCCATGCGACTGCTTTTAATTGAATGCGTTTCTGTTGTATCTTTATATGCCCACACATCATTTTTAAATTTCCGGTGATAACAAACTCGTGACTTCTAACTCTCAACAAAATTGGATCAAGATTATCATGGGATTATAAAACTATTCATAGAAACATCGTTTATCGCAAAATGTTAAAGAAACAAGAAAGGACTTTCTTCCTTCTTGTGTCAAAAAAGTGTCAATCAAAGTGGTTGAAGAAAACCGATTCCGCAGATGTACTATATGCAGATTATTTTTGTCGCATTGGATTATCATGTTATTATTTCTAAAATAGTTAGTGAGTGGATTACAGAAAGAGATAGATTAACGCACTTGATGGAAAAGTTCTTCGTTCGTTTATTGGATGCTTTAATTCAGTTTGAAAGACTCTGCTAAACGATGCAATTTTTGAAACTACTTCAAGTATAAAGCTGGAATCTGTATTGTAAAGGTTTGCAAATTATTTGCATAACCCCATTAGAGGCAGTCTCAAACCATAGTCCCTTTTACATAATTCTGTAAAACATTACTTTTTTAATGGGAAGCAGCAATATAGCTTTATACCTTTACAAAATCCCAGGACTGTGCACTCTAGTTATGTCCTAAAACTCTAGTCCAAACACCAATCCCATTAAATACCCTTTTCTTAGTCTTTTAGACACCTTTGCCACAGCTGATTATCGCGTTTACATTTCCGTTCTTATTTACTGCTATTACTTTTATACTTATTATTCTGTCTATAGTATATAGAAGATATCAAGTGGATTAAGTAAGATATTGTCCCATGTTGTTTTAATTTAATTTACTATTTACATGGAGAACATTTGACAATGCATAAAGGTCGATTTTAGCACACTCCAGTTAATTTATATAAATCTAGGTATAAATTGAAAAACAACAAAGTTAGGCTGTCAGAAGTTGAGTAATTATTCGATATAAAAATGACTTCTTAGATTGTCCAATTTAAAGCCAGGTTCAAATCAGTCAATCAAAAAAATTCCGCAATATTTATAAAGGTGAATTTTTGGAATATTTTTATATTCTTGAAAAATTTTATTTAAGCTTTAAAAACTATATGGTTCTTATTATAAATACCTATACTATCTTAACCAGTATATAAATAAAATAGTTTAGTTTATTTTTTGATAAAATTCTATAAATAATATTGTACTTTTATCTATAAGATACATTTTTATTTTTGTTTCAGAGAATGGTTGGGAACATTTAGGAAAATATCCACAACTCTTAAACATGACAAATATTACTTCAAACAATTGATAAGTGTTTTCTACTACTAAGTACATAAAATTAAGAAAAAAGCATTTTCAAATTTTATTAAATGTTAGGAGTAAAATGGAACCTGCCTGATTATCTGTGATTTAAAAAAAGGATGATTTTTTTGTGTAAAGTTGTTTATATTCTCAATTTTATTTAAGACATAATATAAAATAGATGATGGAGTAAAACTAAAAGACTGTTATAAGTATTAAATGATTATCAAGATGCCATATTAGATTAAAACGAATTCTGTTGCATTAAGTAAAGAAACAATTATCTAAATAAACGTTTACACATTAATGATTAATAAATAAGTAATAGAATTTTTTTGTTTTCCTAAAAATACAACCCTAAATAATGCGACCCACACTAAAAATTATCTTATTCTACAAATTTAATATTAATTAATTAAACATACTAACAATTAATTATCAATTTAATTTGGTACCTAGTTCTAAAATAAAATAATTACAATTTTATAACTATACTAAAATTAAAATGTAAAGTGAATAAGTTTCTTTTTCATCTTGTGATGTAAATTAGTGGATTTATCCCTAATAATTAATTTTTAAAATTTGTTACAAAAAATGTAGATGCTCAGTAGTGGATTTAAATTTGGTTTAAACCAATTTATTAACCTAAATATACTCTAAATATATGATGTAAGGTAGTGGATTTATTGTTTAACTCAAATTAATCAATTTATAAATTTAGTTCTATCCTAAAGCTGTGATGTAAATTTTTGGATTTATTTTTTATCCCTTATTAAAGATGTAATGATAAGTAGTGGATTTAGTATTCTAAATAAATCTACATTAGCTACCTATTGATCTACTTTATACAATTAATTTCATCTATAATTTAATCTACCTCTAACTTACGAAAACTTCCAGATAACCCGGTAATATCGTTAAAATTCGCAGCTCGTCTTCTTGTAATAATCCCTTTATCGCTTAACAATTTCATCGTATCAAAAGATAACAACCGATCTCTTTTCGCTTCCAATTCTTCTTTCCATAATTCGATCATTTTCGATGCGTCCATTTCACCTCCATATTCTTTTGGTAAAGATTTCGAATCGATCACCTTATGCAGGTCACTTTCACCTTCAAAAACCTTTTAAAAACAATAAATATTAACTGTGCTTTTATTAAATAATTTTTATACTTACATTTAATCTTTGTTGCAATTTTGGACTTAACCTTGATTTTGCAAAATCGAGGACGTATTTTAAAGCCCTTGGCACATTTGTAAAATTAAATGCTTTATGTCGAATTGGGTAAGAATGCTAAAAATTTGTTTTCGTTAATTATATACAAATCAATATATTCTTGAGTTACATCATCGAATGTTGTAACATTATTTACAACATATAATCAAGTAAAAGAAATTTGTGAGCATATGGCTCGTAATAAAATGAATGAATCTCTCTCTTCAGACTGGTTTTCTTCTACTTTCTCCCTATACTTTTTTAACCTGCTTAGTAAATAGTTGGTTTCCCACGAAGCCTTAATAATAATTTTTAAAGTTTTAAGACTGAGGTAAAATTACAAATATCGATTAAATTTCGAATTAAGAATTTTAAAGTGAATGGAAAAATGTATTGTTTTATTAAATTAACTTACTTCACCCCATTTAAGTAAAGTTGCAAATTCCGTAACATTCCACATAGCAACATAAGCTGGGGTAACACCACTTCCATCTCCAACATAAGTGACACCAAGAACTTGATTCTTTTCGTCGTTCAATAAAGTTTCAAGGGTTATAATCGCAACTTTTGCAACATCGACAGTTGTATGCTTATACGGGTCGATTTTATCTTGAAAAAATAAATAACTAAGTTTTAAAAACGACAAATATAAATTATAACTTACTTGGAATGCACATAATGATTCTTCGGTCGTGCAAATCTCGATAAGGAGACACAAACATAAATCTAAAAATAATATTTATTGATTAATAAATGATAAATAAAACTTTGAATTAATTCCAAATTATTAATTACTCACCCGCGATTAATTAAATCGTTCACGTTTGGATTCCTGTAATCCAAATCGTAACAAATCGATTTAAACACTCTTCGAAAATTAAGATATTTCAATAACATTTGTTGCGCCATTGGTAAACTAAACTTTTTCGTTCGTAAAAAGCGCAATAAAAAATTGTCATCTAAAAATATAAAAGAAATTAAATTGTTATAGTATAATAATTTCTATTTTTAAATGGGTTTTAAATTTTTTTTACATAACAAAATATGACGTAAAGATGAGACTAAACAAAAAAATACTTTCTAATTTATTCATAATAAACACATGTACTAAAACGTTTTAACTTTTTTTTGTTGTTAAATGAAATTGTTAATTTTTTGTGCTAAAAATGTCAAAGTTTGAAAAGATTAAGTAAGTGTATTCCATACATTAACACGGCATTACACAATCTTTAAATTATCTTTTCAATTAACTTCGATTAGATTTGGTGTTACAAATCTTCTTGTTAATCTTCTGGAACTCAAAAAACTTCAAAAACTGTCCAAGAGAAGTAATTTAATGAAATATCTTGAGACATAATCAGGTCTGCTTGGCTTGTATACCAAAACCAACTTTGGCAATATCTAAGGATGTTAAGTTGGACGATTCCCTAAGGGCCTGTTACATTACGGATGGATTGCTCGATAATTAGTTCTTCAAAAAAATGACTGTGATCCTAAACAGAGCGAGGTTAGCATTTATGTCAAGTATTTCTGACGCTAACTCTCTTGCAATCACTGGCTTATTGTAAGTCAGGTAGTCTTTAACAACTGATCAAGTGGGCTATATCGAGATAGTGTTGCTAGAAACCGGGCAGAATGGAAAAGACTTGTGGAGCGGGTCAGGATCCATAATGGATTATCAATAAAATTGTTGGCTATAAATTCAAGGAGAACTTTTTGGCAAAAGAATAGATCATTCATGAACATAGCCGAAGAGAAGAAAAACTTCTCAATTTTACACACAACTGGTTGCTTACTAAATTAGTCTGGCAGCTCAAATTCACTTTGATTTCCTGAAATATCTATGGCAGTGCAGATCAGTCATGTAATCAGACCAACTTTAGACCGGAGGAAACTATATGTTGCATCTCACATTTTGTGACATTGGGTGATTAATCCTGATAGTAGAGAAACAATGCCGTCTAACTCTATAAAAGTTTTCGTGAGTCCATAAAGACATTCCATCTATCATTCACATTGACTGTAAAAGTTTGTATTTTTTAGAAATGATATACATTATTACTAGAAAATTAGGTAAATGCTCTAAGGAGCCATATATGGTACATCTTTTTCACAAAATCGTTGTCCAAACGGTTTTTAAGTCGTTTGTGCAAATGACTGCGATGATAGTGGCGTAGACTTACGGTCATGGATTACAATACATACATCAATCTTCTATATGTCTGTTTAATATCGAAAGCAAAGAAGTATGGCAAAACACTAGGATAATGAAATTCTGATCTTCTACATTGTTGATCGCTGATTATCAAAATAAAAAATTTTTGACATCAATAAAAAAAAAATAATTACCTGTAATACAATTTTCAATATCTCGATTTTGTTGAATCCATTCTTTAAATTGTTGAAGATATTGATTACGAACCAATCCATCTTCTCTAAGTTCCTTAGCCGCTATAGAAAAATATCCAAGATTTAAAGATTCCTTATCGGCATCCTTTAAATCTTCTTTTCTTTGCACGCAAATTTCCGGCATTTCTAAAACAGAAATATTTAAATATTTGGTTACAACAAAACCGAAGGTTAAGTCGAGATAACTCAAACTATTACAGAAACACATTAAATCATATCTTTGGTTACGTAAAATCTGTCAAAACTTGGTTATAACCGGCGTTTCAAATCTTGTACATGTTTGTGTAATATTTAGCATTTTAAAAAGAACAAGATTCAAAGAAAGATAGTTTTCCCGGACGTAATCGTGATTTACTCGGAGTTCGTTTACGTAAGTGGCTTAGAGAAAAGATATGTTAAATTTAAATGTATGTATTTATATTGAAAAGAAAGCTGAAACCGATGTCTCATGTTCAGCTCCTGAAACGGCTTGTGCGTTCGTGTGACTTATGTAATTTTGGAGAACTTTCTCAACTGTTATACAATGAGTTCCTGTTGCGTTATCATTGTATGGATTTTGTTTATTTACTTATTTTTGTAAAACTGTTAAATTTCTTTTCCTGCCTACAATAAATTAAGCTTGTGCTGTTAATGTCGTAATTGGTGAAATTAAGTGTGAAAGTTGTTAAGATTTAAATAATTTTCGAATAAAACTATAAGATATGATTGTTTAGGTAATCAGATTGAGTTAATTAACATAAACAATTAATAAATTATCAAAATTTAAGTAAGTAACATAAATATGTACTTAATAAAAAATTAAGATAAAGAAAAGTTTTTACAATTTACACTCCATGTGTCTATGTCTCAGAAGTTAGAGGAGAGTTAAAGAAGATTAAATTAGGGCAAAGTTAAATTGTCATGGGAATATTAATTTCAATCTAGAAACTCTGTAGAAGTCCATAAAATTACATAAACTTTAAACATAAATCTTTTATAGTTTTTGACACGATATATATGTATATAATTTTATAAGTGTCATCAGAACTTTGGTTTTAAAGGAATAAATAAGCCATATAATACAATAATAGTGAAATAAATAGAATAAAAATGTTTTTTAATGTGTTCAAGACATTGAATTCAAAGTTGACGTGGTTCAGGTTTTCCTAAAGATGATTTATAATTAATTCGAAACCGGTAGAACAGAAAATAAAACAAATCCATCAGAAAAGTGCAAAAAGTCGAGTCTTGTTTCATTCTGAACGATGGAAAGAGACAACGATGATAATAATTATTTTAAAAATATTTCTGTCAAATTTATATCATTTGAAATATTTAATTAAAATAAAATGAAATAAACTAAATTAACTTTTTAAAAAACATTTCAAATTCTACTTGATAATATTAAAAAAATATATATTTCGTACTTACTTGAGGGTTTTGGATTTAAGCTCACACACGTTAACGGTTCATAAGTGTTTGTTCTTCCCGCGAACGGCTTAAAGGTGAAAAGGTGATTCCCTATTTAAGAAGGTGGTGGGGTAAACCCCAAACCACCGGCGACGAACTTTTGGTTCATTCCACCGCCAATAACTGCTGAACCAGCATAACAAATTATATACATAGTTATACACAGTCTTTGTTATTAAATTTACGCATGGAGGAGTCACAATTTGATTCATCGATGTTACGCAATAATCAAAACTTAAAAATAATTTTCTTTTTGCTGTACGTGTTGTATGTCGGATATCTTTTGACCGACCTTCGCTTTGTTTTAATAGAAAAAAGTGGAACAATGTCATATTTTTTTTGTTATATTTGTTCATGTAAATATTTTTGACTATGGTGTGAGTAATGGATGAATAGTGGTTATATTTCTAAAAAATTGATTCATAGAAGTTATATTATTGACATAAAATTAAACTAAGTTATCATTTTCAAGATTAAAACATTATAAAAATAGAGAATTATATTCGAAATCCATTTTACCAGTATTTGTTAATAATTAGGAAAATAATATTTAAAGCTTTTTTGTACTTCCAAAGAACGTTCTAAGTTTTTAAAATGTTAACGTGTTCGTAAATTATACTTTAATCATTTATATTTTATCTTAAAGAATTTTAATAATGTAAAACTTGACGTTTGATATTTTAATCTAATATTGCATCTTAAAAACTAGTCTCTGAAGATGGCTATTACCCGAAACTAGTAAGACTCAGTTTATTATTTAATTAAAGACCAGTTTTGAAAGTAAAAAAAAGCTTTAAATATTATTTCTCTTAATTATTTATAAAAATAGCTAAATAGAATCATAAATAGAATCTGTAATTCTTAAAATATTGGAAGCGAAATTTCACCTGGCAGAGGTGGTTATAAAAAATGGTGGAGCAAAATGGTTTTTAATCGATTATCTCTAAAATGCATAATCTCAGCTACTTTCATAGAACATTGGGTGAATTCAAAGATTGATTCTACTTGAAGTTTTAAATTCAGTTGCTATCTCTATACATTTCCGTATTCTTGTCGAGATCTGAGATAATTGGGAATTGTAAGATTCCTCGAGACATACCTATTAGGAATTTAATTAAAAAAATATGAGTACAAATAACTTAGTTAGACATTTTGATATTCTGAAAATAGACGTAGAGATTTTGATATCTAAATTAAAGGCATGGAATTGGCTGAATTCAAACATAAATGTATAACTCAAGAAAGCACAACGAAGTTATTTCCATATCTTTCATCGGAGAAAACATTGAGTACAAATATGAAAAAGCAGAAAAAGAACATACAGGATTTGGATTCTGAGGATTTCCAAAAAGTCCGTTTTTGTGGTCAAGGTATTTGCCATCTGGTGGTAAATATATCTGGTATCATATTCCGTCAGCAATTATATTTACAAATTCTCTCAGTTCTTTAACGTCATTGAAGAATTTTTGGGGGGCTAAAACAAGACAGGCATTATTTGATATACAGGGTGTGTCAAATGTCTGGAATATAGCCAATAACTTCGCCATTTGTGGTTTTAAAGAAAAATGTTTCAAATACAAGTTTCTTTATTAATCATAGCGCATTTTGTGGCGATACTTGTTTGTATTGTTTTTTGTTTCGTTGCTATGGCAACCAACGTTATTATTTTAAATGGGATGCATATATTTTTTTTTGCCATCAACTTTTTGGAAGGTTTTTAACACTTCCGGTGTTAACATTTTTTTTTAATATTTTAGACGGTGTACAAACTTCACTTTGAGTGCGTTTTCTATCACCTGCACCGTACCCATACATTATTAATATTTGGATTTTTTGTCGTTTGCTTAATTGCGCCATATTTGTTTAAACTGTCAATTTTTTGACATTTAAATCTGTCAACGGCATTATTTCAGCGACTACTTTTATTGTAATTTGCTGATTTCACTTTCAAAAAAAGTATTTTTTTCTCTAATACAACTGAATACAACCATATCATTTGATATGTTTGTCGCGTAGAGGGATTTATCCTCTATTAAAATGTGCAAAAAAAAAATGTATCCCATTTAAAATAATGTTGGTTGCCATAACAACAAAACAAAGAACAATGTAAACAAGCAAGTATCGCCAAAAAATACGCCACAATGAATAAAGAATTTTTTATTTGAAACATTTTTCTTTAAAGCCACAAATGGCGAAGTTATTGGCTGTATTCCATTCCAAATATAAATAAATACCCATTGTTGCAACAATATGCAGATTAAGAGTGGGTAATGGCTTGTTCCGGTCACATTTGTATCGTATAAGTTTGACTGATTCGCATTCCTGTTCATGTGGTGAGATAGGGGATTTAAGTCATATTCCTTTTGGTTGTAATAAGTAATAATTATAAGGTTGGAAGCAAGGTTTATAGAACATAAGGTTACCTCATTCCCTATGCCTCTGTAGTATCGATTATTACCCCGCAAATTGACGTCACTGGTTCGATACAGTCAGAATAAAAGATAGCCTATACACGTGCCTATACTGTGGTACAGTCTATATAAAATATTTAAACCTCGCATCGTGTTGTTCATAGAACCAGCTACGTCACTGACCCACCTTGCCTCTCAGAGGAGGAGAATCGGTATTGGGTAACCTTATGTTCTATAGACCTTGGGTTGGAAGCGATATGGAGAAGTATTGAGGTTTAGTTCAGTTTATGTTTTGGTTAATGGGTCGGATTCAATTGATAGGATGTTGTATCAATTTTTGTCAGTATATCTCGATTTGGTTTTATTACTGGCATTACAATAATTTAAAGATTACATTTAGATTTTATTTTTGACAAACATCGTTCATCTTCATGGAATCAAATTGGGCAGGTTACACCTTCACTTTAAATACATTCTTGCAAACATTCGGATATGACAATAGACGTCAGCTGCACTCCTTCTATTAACAAGCCGACTGTTTCCATCTCGAGTTCTTCATTTTGTGGATCACTTCATTTGTTCTTCTTTGTCTTCTTGTGTTAAGTGTTTCAGACACATCTGTTCCGCCCCGCTTTTCTTCAGTCATCAAGAATTGTCTCTCTGTTTAACTTGGTTAATGTGGCATTCTCCGCCGCTTCTTGTATAGCAGTTGTTAAATTTTTTATATGTTTAATGATACTTTTGTCCTTGACGTGTTCGTATTTTTCAAATTGCTTTGTATTTCTCTCAGGTTGACATCCCACAATATTGTCTTTACAACCCTGGACATGTTTCAATATCACTCTTGGTATAGTTTAACATCGCACGGGATTATTGTTCAATATCATATCTGGAACTTCTCATTTTCGTCTTGGACATGAATTAAGATCGTCCTGATTGTTCCTCAATATCATTCCTACCACCTCTCAACAGCATTTCAGACATCTTCATCTCTTTCAACATCGTCCTGGACATCTCTTTATATCGACCCTGGTACTTAGAATCATATCATCTTATTGAATTATTTTCACCAACAGAAGTAATCCTTTTCTTAGGAGTATATTAATGATAAAGGATTTTAAAATAACGAAGACGAAATATTACGTTAAACGTCTTTATTATTTTATTGGAATTCTTAATACTATAAATCTCAAAATGAAAAACATGCATTAATTAACACCTCCACAAGAAGGTTATTTTCAAAATACAATTTTCTTATCCGAATTATTTTACAAATAAACATCATATAAAAATAACAAATGGAAGGTGAAAATGGCAAATTTTTTTTGTACACTAAGCACTGTGCTCTTCTATTTACAACATTCGAAGAGATTTCGTTTTACACCATTAAACTTCCACAGTCAAGTCAATTTACATAAATACGTGTAGTTGTAAACTAAGTTTCTTTTTTGTTAGCTCTAAACAGTTCCTTTCAAGTTAAATAACTTAGAAACTAATAAACGCAAACAAGAACTCAACGTTGTAGTATATATTGCGGCCTTGCTGTTTAAATTTGATAATTTAATAAGGTCTTGATCTATCACGTCCACCGCCTCCATCTCTGCAAAAATTATAAGAACAAAATTTAGTACAAATTCATAAAATATAGATATTATTTAGATGAGAAAAATAGTACTGTAACCTCCGACAGGATACACTCATGTGCAATATTAACTACATGGTGCGTTTAATGAGGATTTTTATTTAACCCAAAACTACATCAACTAAAAGTACTGAATTAACTTTAAGCTGTTGTCAAAATTTGGGTAAACTAATTTAAAAATTAATTAAAAAAATTAGACAAACCTTCCTCCCCCTCGACCTCCACCGAAACCGCCTCTTCCACCACCTCCTCTTGGTCCACCACGACCATAACCTCCTCTATCACCACCCCTTCCTCGATCACCTCTAAATCCACCTCCACCACCTCTTCCACCGCCATCTCGCCTATCGCGGCCTCCACCACCTCCTCTTCTATCGTCTCCTCCACCTCCGCCCCCAGCTCCTTCAGGTTTGGATTCATTACATCTATTGCATTGATTTCTCCAGGCGAAATTTGTGTTGCCACAGTCAGGGTTGGGACATCTCCAGTCGCCTTCGCGGGATTCACGATCACGACCTCCGCCACCTCCTCCACCACCCATACCTAAAAAATAAATAATTTTAATTATCAAAAAATTATATTTGTAAAAATTAAATTTAAAACAATTAATAAGATTACATACTGTCTCTTCCGCCACCACCTCCTCCTCCTCCTCCGCCGGATCTTCCACCACCGCCATAACCGCCAGGTCCGCCGCCACCACGTCCTCTTCCACCTCTACCACCACTCCAATTATCCCTTTTCGTGGCCATTTGGACGCTTATTTTTCTTCCTCGAAATTCTTTACCATCGAACCAATTAATAGCGGAACGAGCGGCATTTGAATCATCATAAGTGACCGTTGCTTCGCCTTTAGAAACTCCGGTAGCTTTGTCTTTGTATAACCAAATCTTACGTTTTGAAGTCTTCTTATCAATCTGTTGAAATCATTATTTTGACATAATTTTTAATGAAAATAATTATTTTTAAGCAAGTTTATGTCATAAAATACGAAATGTAACAGACAGTATAATCTAATTCACACAGAAAAATGTGAACTAGGAATAGGAAGTCTGGAATATATTAATTTAGCGGAATTTCAAAATTGAACTTGAATTATTAATATGTTCAAGCACAGAGTGCAATCCGCAAAAGTATTCATCCACTGACCAAGCTACACTTTGTTAAAGTGTCCTAATGAAAGTGATAAGGTTGATTTATAACATGGAGTGACCAATAAAAAATAATTAATTATACCTTGATGACACCAATGGATCCAAAATAATCAGCAATTTCCTCTTCATTGATTTCAGTGTCCATTCCAGATACAAAAACAGTGTCTTCTTGAACGACCATCTCACCAGAGCCTGTAAATCAAACAGGATTAGACAACTGTACCCAACTTAAACAAATGATTAAAAAAGGAAAGTGATAAGAAATATTAAATTAAATCTAAACCCTTTTACACGTTTTGTTTTAACTCGATTAACATTTTATGTACGTTTATGACCAAGATTTTCATAATGCCGGTTTAGTATCGTTTATTTTAAATCCTTAGAGTAAAAGAAATCCAAAAAAAAATCTTTGCAAATAAATGTTATGCCACCACACAATACAAAGTTACCTAACGCAATCAATACCTTTAAATATTTCGTAGTTTCAAATGTTTGATCTTTATTAACCAAGAAACGAATTTTATAGGCGATAAGTTTTGTGCGAAACTATTTTATTTATGAAAACAATGTCCTTTGTTGCACTTTAAAAATTTTAACCAATTATTTGGAACATATTGCATTTACTAATATCTTTCAAATTTCATGTCTGAGATAAAATCTGCAAATTGTGTTTTGTAACTTTTTAATTATACAGCGTGTATCTAAATAAAAGTAAAACGTTAGATGATTCTTAGACGACTTCAAAAAGTTAATTAAATTCTAATCTGTAATCCTTCCTCAATGAGGTATGCATTTGTAAAATTAATGTAGTCATTTATGTTTCAAATCAGGTAGCTAAAGTTTCTTTAATATGTTCCTGCCACAATAATCATTGCATCAAACATTCATAACTCAAATTGCGAAATCAAAACGCGTTAAGTCACGTTATTTGCCGAACTTATATTAATTTTATAATTAGTTGGAGATTCTAAATTAGCAAGTAATCTGCTCATTTCGTTAATTCCCAGATTATTGCAAAAAATATGTCAATTCTCCCCTATTTTCACATTAAACAGTAAAAAAGAAAAGTTAAAGGGGGGAATAGTTAATAGAGATCTCAACCAGTGAGTAATCTGATAGTTTTCAGGTGTCTCATCAGCTTATCATGAGCATATTAAAATCCATTTTTATAATTTTATTGGTGATATTTAGATACACCTGCATAAAGATGTTTTCTTATTCATTCATGGTCGCCTCTAAAATTGGAGGTTTCACATTAAATATGTATTTTTATTCGTTTTCTAATAATAATACAATCTAATAGAATTTATTGTTTAAAGTTCTTTCACCAATCAACCATAAATATAATACCAACACATCATTAGTCACATTTTATTGAAAATTTTCTTGATAAACGTTTTTGATATTTTTAACTCCAAACACTTTTTTTATAATCAAGCAATATAACGCAACCACACATACTAACATTGTAGGAGGAGTGAAAGAGCCTGCTAAAAAAATAGTATGAATTCAATGATTCAACCTTTGATTCAAATGTTTCAAGGACTGAAGCAAAGAAATTGAAAATAAATTCTAATATTAAAAATACATTGAAAAGGAGGCTCTTTCACAAAAATACAATTAATACCAAATAAATAAAGTGTGTAGTGAAAAACGCACCGGTCAACTTTGACCCGGTGCTTTTACCTTTGTTATAACCACCCCTTCCGCCACCGCTAAAACAGAAGGAGGAAATGATCAGTAGATGCAGACTTCGAGGGGTGACAACACACACGGGGTGCCAACTTCATTTTGTTGGCGCGCACTTTGTACCGCATAGTCAAGTCAAAAGTTCTTCTGCTGGAAACAAGTTTTTTTTCGTTCGTCCGGTCCATTAATTTATAAAACACTTATTTTTTAATAACCATTAGTTATTTTAATATCAAAAACCCCATTTTAAGCAATAAACCTTATTGTAAAAAACCAATTTTGAAAAATTTGTTTAGTAAAAATATCGCCGTTTTCGTCAGTTAGTCAGTCAATTTGTCATTTTCAATTTTTTTTACTATATTTACTTATTAATTACTATACCCTCTCTACCAAAAAAAGAACACTTCTTTAAAAACCTTTATAAGTACCTTTACTATTTCAAAGAATATTTTTGTATACCTCGTTTTATTTTACCCAATATCCTTCAACATATTCATTGTCAAAGGAAAGAAACCCTTTTATTAAAAAAAAACCTTTTTTTCTTTTAGATGAACTTTTCAAAGTCAAGTCGTAACAGTTATTAAAAAGTAATTAGTTAAAAAAAATCCTTCTGAAAAGATTTAACCATCACAATTAAATTCACATCATCAATCTCATTGATGTATATAATAAATAACAAAAAAAAATACTACTTCACCATGTTGATAAACTCCATACTTCATTTTAAAACATCTTTTTCAAAACTTCTTTTAACAGGTGAAGTAAATCAATAGAATTCATAACTGCCAGTTTTAAATAAAGATTTGTTTACTTTCTACAGTTATGAAAACTATTTTACATCTTCTTTTAAGAATATAAAATATAATGAAGATTTGGTAACTTACCCAAATCCACCACCTCCTCCTCGTCTATCTTCTCTACCACCATAATCACCACCACCTCCACGACCTAAATAATCATCAAAAATAATTAATAAACAAGAATTTTATTTGATAATATAAGAAATATAATGTTGATTTTTACCTCCATATCCACCTGAACCACCTCCATAACCTCCACCACCCCCTCCTCCATTTCCGCCATAATTTCCTCCTCCACCACCGCCATAACCACCACCTCCTCCTCCAGAGCCATATCCACCTCCACCACCTCCTTGATTACCGTATCCACCTCCTCCTATAAAATAAATTTAGAAATGTTAAAATGTTGTATTCACACATTCTGCAAAAGTATTCTATCAAATCCACTTGAAAAAAAAAATGGGATAAAACACCAATTAGCCGTTTGGGTGGTAAAGAGTTTTGAAAAAGCACTGTCAAAACTTCCCAAATGCATTTATTTCTTTTTTAATTATATCTTATAATAAAAATGTTAGCTTTTAATAATTAACTTCAGTTTTATTTTTATATGACATAATTAAGTAAAAAAAAAATGATGAAAGTCTATATTTTTCTGATTCCCAATATTTTGGTTAACTTTATCATGGGTTTCAAAAACTGTTAACATAAAATTTTAGTCTAAATCCTATAATGTTATATTTTCTCTATAAAATCAATTCAATTGAGAACTTAACACAGACATCAATAAATAATTTCATGGATGTATTAACATAATTCAAAGTGATCAGCAAAGTAATATACCATGTGTACTACTAGTCTAATTTATACTAATAAATATAGACATTCCAGTACCTTAACAGATCTCTCAATAAGAACAGAAATGGAGATATAATTACAATCTCCAAATAATGGTCAAAATAGTGAAATATGTAGAGAAAATTTCTACCCTTCTATTTATAAAGAAACATAAAAGGACTATCATTTTTCCCAATTAATCTTTGACATAGTAGGAGGCAACAATTCCTTTTAAATAAACTGTTTCCATGCCTATGTCAACAATATATGAAAAAAAGTAAAATTAAGCTTATAAGAACACTAAAAATATATATACCTCCTCCAGAGTTTCCTCCATACCCTCCACCGCCGCCACTTCCGCTGTTTCGGTTTTGTCCCCATCCAGAATTACCACCAGAACCGCCTACATTTCCTTGATTTCCTCCATAAGGAGCGTTTGCCCCCGAAGGATTATTCCCGTAAGTACCAGGGTAAGCGGTTGATGGAGGCGGCTGAGAGTAATCGCCATAATTACCGCCATCGTACCCGTTATATTCTATAACCACAACAAATTAAACCAAATATAAAAGAATTTATGAAAAAATGTTAGAAATATAACACAAATGAGGTTAGAATGTAAACGCCGCTACAAAAAACAGTAATGGCGTCCATAAACAATTGAAGAATAACCGTTAAGGAAAAGAAAAAAACGTCTCATCGAAAATATAGCGATAATTTAAACGAATTTGACTTAATTAATATGTAATTGAAGAAATAATTAAGTGATTAAATAGATTTGGGTGATATAAATAAGGATTAACTTACGGTTATCGACCATTTTGTACCGAGGTTGACAAGAAATAGGAAGCGTCACAGGGACCGGGTGGCAAAGCTGTAAGCGCCACACTGTATTGACATGCGCAATTAGTTTTTGAATTATGGAAGGGGAATATAACCTCATAATGTAAAAGCGGGAAATTTAAATTTATCTCTAAAAGATCGATTTGATACCAAAATCACTTCTTTATTCGTAATAAGTAAAAGAAAATTATAATGAGAAATAAAAGAATTTACATGAATATAAATTTTTAGAAAATATTTATTAATTCTTATGATACAATAGTGTGAATTAAACATAAATAAAAACGATTTGTACATTTAAAAATATATAATTCAAGAATTTGAGTGTTGGCTAGGGGTCAAGCCGCCGCTATGTTCAGGACTATGTTTCTGTTTTTTACGTTTCTTCTCCTTTTTTCGCTTCTTTCGTTCCTTATCCTCGTCGTGTCTTTTTTGTTTCTTATGTTTCTTTTCGTGAGTGTCCTGGCCGATTTCCGTAATGGGGGTTTCTTGACTTGGTATGCTACCGTCTTTGTACTTGTGCTTTTTATGTTTATTCTTGTGTTTCTTTATTGGGGTCTGATTTGCGTACCTAAATTGTTCAGGGAGCTAAAAAAAACAAAATTTCCAGATTAAATGTGATTATTTTAAAGAAATTAATGTGCTTACAGGTCCTGGATGTAATCGAAAACCATCTAATTGTACACTGGTTAATGGTAACAATTCTTTTCCTCCGATTGGAGGTTTTTCAATGACAGACCTCAATGAACTATTATCGTTTTGTCCTGGAGTATCGATAACACCCGGAAGGGTTGGAAGGAAGCTTGATAGCTGCTCTTTTAATTTTTTGCCACTAAATTTACTATAAGAATGTTCAAGGCCATAATAGGCCATCAAATTCGTAGCTCCAGTCAGTTCTGAGTCCCCTAAAGACAAGGAAATATAATTTATTGTTTCATTTCATAATTTTTATAACCCTTATTCACATTTTGTAATGTTTACGTGCAACTTGCTCACCTGGAGGTTCCTTCATCAAATAGAAAGGTCCACTGGGGACAATGGAAGGATTTTTTCCCAATAGAATGGTCGTTTTTAATGTTCCCGTTGAATCCTGGCGTGAAACAACTGGGGATCTCGCCCCTCTCGGTGAAGATTTCGGCGAATATTGTTCAACCTTACGAAACTGATCACCCATCATCATACTTATACATCGTTGTTTAGCCTAAAATGTTGACAAGTCGCACTTCTTGTACAATTAACATTGCGCACGCGCCAATCATATATACTGTTTTTTTTCTGGGAACTTTAATTTTTTTAACGTTGGTTGTAATTTTGAATTTTTTTAACAAACCGAGGTGTTGTAATTTATTTAAATAATTTAATTTCGTTAATTTAATAATATATAAAGCAATAATCCAAATTATTCATAATTAAATAGATATAAATTTAACCTCATTTATCGCCTTGAACTAAATAATCGCTTATTTACACTTTATAAAATAAACAACTTTAACGAAAATATCTATACGAACTGTTCTACTTCTCAAAAACGTTGATAATTATCACTTTTCTTTCAAATTTTCATTTAGAACAATGTATTTCTTTTAGAATTAAAGTTAACTTTCACTGTTTTTAAAAATACTCAAAATTTGCATTTAGAAAGTTAATTTTTTAAACATTTTCAAAAACCAATTTATTGTAAATTAACAATTATTTAAATAATCAATAAAGAAATTCTTTAAAAAATTGCATTCTGAAGAGAAAAATTATATGAAATCAAATTTTTTTGATTTTGACAACTTTTTGAATTTGGCGCTTAAAATAATGTTGATTGCAAAATGTTTTTAGGGGATATTTTGATTTTAAAATTATAACCTAACAAATTTATATTATAAATCAAATAAGTAATTAAATTAAACAATAAATGTTTTAATCGCGTGTTGTTATACAATTAGATAACATATTAATCAAATCGACGATAAAAATAAACAACATGAATCATTAAAATAAAAATTGTTGCAAAAATTAATAAATTGAAAATAATCCTATTGTAGTCGTTTTATCTCTGACGTTTGCTCATTGTAATTTAATAATCGCGCACGCGCATCAAGTTATTGATAAAAAGGCACAAAGCAGAAATCAACATTTCAAATAAAACATTTTCTTGTGACTCAGTCGTGTTAAACCGGACGTGTTATTCCCGCTATTAATAATAGGTATAGTAGTAAAAGTAGAAGTAGTAGAGCTTAAGTGTGGGAATTGCCGAGAGTGTTTATAATTCCTGCGAAGAATTTAGTTTCACAACAACTTCCAAACGTTACGGTTTATTTTTATTACCGCCCGAGAAAATGTCGTTGTACCCGAGTTTAGAAGATATGCAAATGGACCAAATGGTTAAGGCCCAAGAGAAGGTTATTTCGCAATCGTACGCTAACCAATATCCAACATATCAACAACAAACGAGTACGGATAATCCCCCTGCATATTCTCCTGCACCTATTAAGAATGAAGGCACCGTTTATCCAGCTTTGGGTGATTTTATGGGATTAGAACTTTCAGAAGCTGTTATTGCAGCTAATATGCCAGAGTATTCTCAAATTGCCATAATACAACAAGTAATAAATAATTTATGACCTTATTTTTTTTTAATTAATTTTTTATTTATTTCTCAAATAGGCTCAAATTGTTCCATCTGGATATAGTTCTCAGATGATTGCTCCTTTATCAAGTCAAACTCTTGGTTTGCAAAAGGCTCAGGTTACTCATGGAATTCGCGAGGTAAGACTTTGTTACTTTGATAACAAAATGAGATGACTCAGTACCTGATAGAAAAGGTCATTTTAATTGTTAACCCAAAATGAATTTTATATTAGATAAAATAGTTTCTATTAATCTTAGTTGTTGTTGTAATAAAGTCATTGGGTTTCCAATTAGTCATCCTGTTGAACTTGCAAAAGTTTCATCATACTTTCAAAACTTGTGGTTTTGAATTTATAAATTAATTGTTGTAAATAGCAACCCACATTTCAATTGATTAAAAGTAAGATAAAATTTATGAATTACTTAAGTTTTAAATCATTATTTTCAGTTGATTTTATGTAAAGACAAACACAATAAAGTTGGAATGAGAGTAAAAGCAATCGATAATGGAGTATTCGTCTGTTTGGTAATAAAAGATTCTCCAGCTGCTTTAGTTGGTTTAAGATTCGGCGATCAAATCCTTCAAATAAATGGAAAAAGCGTCGCTGGTTATTCCATGGATAAAGTACATGATCTATTCAAGAAGAGTCCTGTTAATGGGATTTCAATTGTTGTTAGAGATAGGCCATTCGAGAGGACGATTACTTTACACAAGGATAGCACTAACCACATTGGATTTCATTTCAAAAACGGAAAAATTAATAATTTAGTTAAGGATTCATCAGCGGCCAAAAATGGATTGTTGACTAATCATCAACTTTTAGAAGTTGATGGACAAAATGTTGTTGGTCTTAAAGATAAAGAAGTTGTGAAAATAATCGACGATTGTGGACCTGTTGTAACTGTTACTGTGATTCCTTCATATATTTATGATCACATGGTTAAAAAGTAAGTTTGTTTTCAATTAAATTCTATCATATATAATTTATTAATTTTTTAGAATGTCTGGATCTCTTATTAAGGACCTTATGGACCATTCTATTCCTGCAATTTAAATTTCATTTTTTTCTAACATTTCATTTTTGATACATTTACATTATAATATTTGTACTATTGTATTATTCGTCAACGAATTATGGTGTTATTTTTATATTACTGACCTTTTTATTATCATTTTTTTTCTTATATTATCTATATTCTATATAATATCACATTTATCTACACTTTTAAAATATCTACATTTACAAACATACATTTATATACATTTTGTAGTTATAAATAAGTCAACAGGGTGTCTTTTGTAAGTGTATGTGATAGGAAGAAACGCGTTTTATTTGAAAGAGACTCAACCTGTTTGCTTAAAGGTAGTTTACGATTTATATTTGTATAATTCGTTTCTGTGATTAAATGTGTGCCAGAATAGATCTTACAGAGTTGAGAAATGTTTATGAAATGGAGATGATTTAGTTAGAAGATGGTAGTCGTTTTTCAGTTTAGTTTTATATATATTTCTTGTAACAGCATGTATGCGACAATGCAAAATAAACCTTATTATATAGACAAATTATGTTGTTTTTAATTTATCAAACTAATTTCCTAAAAAGATCAACATTGCCACCACAACCCCTTGTGGGTCTTGGCCTGTTTTAGTTTCTACTCCTGTGCACTTCTCCTGTTTAGTCTTTCGGTCCATGTTTCTAATATCTGTGCTTGTCCACTAATAATCACTTCTTCTCTATTTCTCACCTTCCTAAAAAAATATAAACTATTTTTACCTCATTTTGATTGGTATATCAATAATATATAGATATCAATAATAATAATTTTATACATTAAGATACTATTAAGTGTTCTAAATAATATTTTTAATGGATAAAACACTCAAAATGAATAATACTATAAATAAAAAGAAAGTAGAGATAAACAAATTAATTCCCTTTGACATTTTAAATTTTATGAAGCAGCCAATAGAAATGATTCTCGAGCAAAAGATGGCGCTACTAAGAAGTTATTAATCTTAAAATTTATTATCAGGTCTAGTGTTAATTCTAGTTTTAAATATCTGAGCTTATAAATCGAATGGATTAAGGTATATGGATTTAATAAAAAAAAAGTAAATAACAAAATTTGAGTAATATATTTTGTTTAATAAATTCAAACTAACGCCATCTTTAGTCGGACGATCGTTACTATTGGTGTGTGACTGTATAAGCGCATTTTCTGCAATGTTAATGTAAAATAAAAAGCTCTATTTTCATAAAGTACATCAAAGTACATTGAGAGTTTTTAATCAAATCACTATGAAAATGAAATAGTAGTAATTAATTTAAATTATTTTTATTAATTTGAATGATAATAACTTGTAGCGCCATCTTTACTCGTTTATTACAGAATGATGTCAAAATTGTCAAATTAATCTTGAGGAAAACGGTGTTGTTGTAGTTTTAGTAAATTTCTTAAAAATGTACATAAAAACAATAGTCCTTTTATACATTATCTACTATTTTAACGTGGTCTTGGGAAGTTGGAATACACAGGACTTCCTAAAACGGGAACACAGCCTCTCGAGGCCTTACCAATGTAAGTTCTTTTTCACCGGATTTCGAGGTTAGGTCACTTTGAATTAATTTACTTTTAGCCGCCGGAATGACTATACCGTTTTGGGACTTTTCCGGAAGCACAATGGTTACAAATAATTATATAAGGATAACACCTGATCTTCAATCAAAATCGGGGGCTCTATGGAATACTATTGTAATAATTTTTTTTCGTTGAAATGAAAATAATTAACTTTTTTTCCTGTTATTATAGCCTGTACAAATTAAAAACTGGGAACTTCAAGTACATTTTAAAGTACATGGGAAAGGTAAAGATTTATATGGAGATGGATTTGCTATTTGGTATGCCAAAGATCGTTTAGTGAGCGGACCTGTTTTTGGCAACAATGATTATTTTCATGGACTTGCTATTATTTTAGATACTTATAGTAATCATAATGGTGCACATACAGTAAGTTAAATACTTTAGTTGTTTTGTTATGATATTAATTGAGTTATTATTTAGCATCAACATCCATATATATCAGGAATGATAAACAATGGTTCTTTACATTACGACCATGATCGTGATGGGACTCATACTCAATTGGCAGGTTGTGAGGCGAAGTTTAGAAATGTGGACCATGATACTCACATATCAATTAAGTATGAAAAGGATACATTAACAGGTTAAAAATTGAAAATGGATGTTAGAAGAAAATGTTATTTTAATTTTTTTTTTTTAGTATCAACTGATTTGGAAAATCGCGCCGCTTGGAAAGAATGTTTTAAAGTAACTGGAGTAAAATTACCCACTGGTTATTATTTTGGAGTATCAGGAACAACTGGAGATTTGTCAGATAATCATGATGTTGTTTCAATCAAGTTGTATGAGTTGGATTTACCAGATGTAAGCTATATTACACTAGTTTGAAAATTTTAATCAATTTTTTCTCAAAGAATGTGATATTTTTTTTATAACTTAGAATGTTGAGCTGATTCTGAAACTGTCTTCAGTTTTTCTCCATCATGTCCAGTTATCAGTTCATTACGCGAATTTAGAACGCAATAGATAATAGGGGATGATAAAAAATAAAAAGTTCATGGGCGAAATTTTGATAAAGTCTAAAGGAACTAGGAAAGTATCATGACAAAAAGTCGAAATCTCCATAACCATAATTAAAAAAGGGGAAAGATTTTTTCGCATCTGATTGAAAACAACCTTAACTGGAACTTTTTGCTTTATTTTTTGCATCAAATTTGATCAAAAGTGTTTTGAATAGTTTTTAATTTTCTGGAAACTTCCCCTTAAACTGTGGCTATAAGATATATCCTTTTTTATAAGCAGAAGAAGGAGACTTACAGAAGTTTTATCAAGAACAAGGAATACTATGTTGCCAAACAACCCCAAGTTATTTTCAGTTGATTACTACCATTTGGACACATACCATCAAGCCTCTTCTATTCCCTAAATAATTTGATTAATACTAATCAGCTTTTCCCATGTTACACATCCCAACTTTAATATTATTAAGATATTGGATATATCACACCAACCGGCATTTACTATTTTTTTGCTATCTTTGAAACACTTTCAAAAAATGTTAAAACATATTTTGTTTTAGTTTTTCATCCTAGTTAAGTATCCTTTGAATATTGTTAATCAATTACACACATTTTGATTCACACCTACCAGGTTTTTTGATATGCTAAAATATGGACCAATAATGATGGTTCATCAAGTAACAATGTTCAGTATATTTTTTGTTTTGCATAGACCAGACGAACATTTTGAGGAATTGATGATATTAATTGGATATTTTGATGCCGCCTAAAACAACTCAAGAAAATCAAAAGAATTATATATGAACAAAAAAGTTAGCTATTCTATATTGTAGAACATTAAATTTCATTTTTTGCCATTTTAAAAACATTACATAGTTGAAACATTATTACTAACAATTTTTTTTAATAAAGAGGTGTTTTAACTCTTCCAGGCACTAAGTATAAACTTGAAATTAATTATATTTTACCTGTTCTAAATGTTGAACATGAAGCATATCAAGTAATGAATTAATATTTGCATTTATGGCATGGTAATTGTGCAATAAGTTGTAAATCTATGGACGGTTTATTTGAAGCTAATCCATGCCTCCTTTTGTTGTTAATGTTGAAATGAATGCATCATTAATTTTCTTATTTGAGTGCCAACAAATATAGGCCTTCTTTTAGTTTAGCGTAATTCGGTAAGATACTTAAATGTTGGGCCTTGTGGATTCAACAATTTCACAAAGTTTTTCATCAAACCTAGTTTTATGTGTAGTGGAGGCAATATTACAGATTCTAGTCACACCAGATGCTTGTTTAAGACTCTAGAGGACCAGTCTTTGCGCACATTATGATGGTCTCTCGCTTGGCTATCTCACAAGCAAAGAAAACATTTTTGGGGATATCTTGAAAACTGGACGTGATGGAGAAAAACTGAAGACAGTTTCAGAATCAGCTTAAGATTCTACATTATATATATGATATCGACATATATATTGTTTTTTAATAGGATAATGATACTGAAGATAGATCAAAAATTACTCCATCAGCAACATTTTTTGAACCACCACGTGATCACGTCGACGATCCCAAACCATCGGCTCTCTCAGGGTTTAAATTATTCTTTTTAATGTTGATTGGTGCGATAGCGATAGTTGCATGTGTAGTGATTGGGATCATGTTCTATCAAAAACAACAGGAGCAAAGCAGGAAACGATTTTATTAATTTTTTTTTGATAAGACTGGTAAATTTTTTTGTCGGTTCGTTTAAACTTAACGACTGATATTATCGTAAAAGAAATGACTCTAAAACATGTAGCATTTTTTTAATTAGTGTATATCACGTTATAAAAAAGAGGAGGTAAGGTTCGGTATTTTTTTGAATTCATTATAGTCGCTTTATTTATAATTAATAATATTTAATAACTTAGATTTGTTTCGATTGATAAATTGAGCGTTGAAAAAGTTTTGTGGGTGTATCGAATACTTTTTTTTTGTTTTTAATTGTAATATTATGTTAATATTATTGTATATTCAATTGGCTGAATAAAAAAGAAAACGGAAAGTGGTAAATATGACGGTATTTATTGAATATTTTTTTTAAGGTTTACAACAATTTGTACAACATCAATAAATTTTAAATTATATTCTAAAACGTAACAAAAAATTAAATGATCGCGAATGATAAAAAAATCGTGACAAAAAAATTAAAAAAAAAAAAAAATTGTACATCACCATATTTTATTTTATTTTTTTTTAATTTAAAAGGTGTAAATATAATAATGTGCGAAGTGTGTACAATATTTTCTCTTCCTAAAAAATGCATAAATATCGTTTTTATTCTTTGTTAAGTATACTTGACTAGCATTTAATTTTATTTAGGTTAGATGCATGTTCCCTACATGTTTGCGTTAACATTGGAAGTCGTAAGTACGAAAAATGATTATCAGCAGCAATTAGAACATGCAACCGCAAAAAAAAAGGAAAATTAAACATTAAAAACAATAATTACAGGAACATATCTACGTTTTTTACAGCTTATGACATAGCCATAACTTGAAATAAATGTTACTTTAAACATAAAATGAACAACAAAATTTAAAATCTAGCATCTAAACATTCTTTTTTGGATAAAATTTATCAATCGAACATTAAAGATGTACAAAATAATCATAATAAGGACTCAATTTGGCACGATCACATGACTTCTTAACACTAATAATTTAAAAACATTGAATATACGAATTTAAATCGGATTGCATTCATTAAAAGGAAACTATCAGATTACATAACAGACTTTTAACTAATTGCAATAAATAAGTTTATACGTAGGTTGCTTGATTATTAATTTATCCTTGTATTCTTTTTCTCCTTATATTTTTGTCGTTATTACAGATACGAGTATTGAGATTATACCGGAAATTAATTAATCGGTGTTCGTTACTAAATATGGAAATAAATAATTTGAAATAGAAAAAAAGTTTGTACCACAATGAGGACAACATTCAAATAACATTGAACATCCATTCTGATTATGTGTATATTTTGCAGATAGTTTCTGGTTTTATCAAAAATTTGTTGAATATATTGATTTTGATAAAACAAAAAAACTTTTTTAGTATACAGAGTCATTCAAAAAGAAAAACGGTTAGTCTTTTTTTTTATAAAACGTATTTATGTTCACTTCTGGACATTTTTTAATTAATTTTAAGACAAAAAGTATTATAAATATGCACCCCTAAATGATTCATTCCCCTTAATAGTTGTTTATTACAGCTGATCACATAATATATACAGAGGAAAAATTAAAACTGAAGGATAAAACGTTATATATGAAGAAGTCTTTATCTCGTGTACTGAATTAATATCTCAGCCACAGCAGTTGCAAAAAATAGTGATGATTGTGTCTAGAACAATTCGACGCTGCCTATCAAAAATGGATATTTTTTACTTAGCTACACCGTTGAACAGGATTTTTAAATATGCATCCAATGGTTGAAGCGACATAACCGAAAACTAAATTCAATCTGCAATGTTGGTTTAAAGTTTTCCGAAATGGCTATTTGAATACGATGTGATGAACTTTATAATAACTGATGAAAAATAGTGGCAAAGGCTATAAAAGAGAATAGATTTACAATATTAATTTGAAAATTGTACGATTTGATGACAGAGAAATGAAACTGCTTGAGAAATTTGTCGAAAACTGCCAAATTTTTTATAACGTAGAGGAATATGTGCATTAGAGATAAAGCTAGAAACTTCCGGGTTATACCGTGCGTCAATATATCTTTTGCAAATTTGCAAAGTACGTCATGAAAGTTTTTACAGTGGTTGATTCCAAAATGTTTTAGAAAATCTGAAATATGTAGGTTAACAACCTGAAGTGTGTTTTCCTTTTGATAATAAAAACTGTTGAAGAATATACAACACTGGTTCTGCCAGTAGTTTTACTGAGGTAAAACGGGTTAAATATATTTCAGCATTTTTGATCTTCGTAAAGAAAAAACTTTGATTACAATGGTGACAATAAAACCCCCAAAATTACCACATCACATATAACGAAGTTGATTCGAAATTCAGACTCAACCCAAAATTAGAAATGCTTCGTCTACAATATTGGTAGTACTGATTTAAACTGATGAGCTATAATTTGATTAAAATGAAGTACATTTAAATATCTGGGATCCCTCTTAACAGAAATTAGATCTGTAGTCTACAGAGAATATAACGCCAATGAGTAAGGTACGTGATGTATTTAGAAACCAGAGATGATGATAGAACTAACTTAATGATTCAGAAGAGGACCGTGTAGTTATAATGGATGAAAATTAGAAGAAAAAGGCGCCTTTGCCTTAGTAATTCGGTAATTATTTAACGATTTTATTGAAGGAATCGTTCGAATACGAAATTTTATCTTGGAAAATCATCTCTATAATGAATCTGGTTCTGTAAGTACACACCGTTGCTTACATAGGTTTTATCATTAAATTTTTTACGTCTCTTATTGCTGATAAGATTGCCGTATATACAGCGTAATGTTTTGAATTCAACACATAAGAGCCTTTTGTTAGTGCAAGAATCCACGTTTTTGGAATGTAATTGAATCAATCAACAATAACATCTATTGTTGGGGATCACGAAAATGATTTGTTAGAGATAGGTGATGTTAGTAGCTGTAATAACAAGTTGAAAAATCATGCAATTGTATGCTGAAAAACAAATCAACGAAACAATAAAACGATTAAATTTTAAGTAAATAAAATAGGCATAATTTAAACTTTTTGTCTTAAAATTATAGTTAATATCCTATAATTTGTTCCAATTAAAAAAAAATACAACGAAAGTCATCATAATGTTGATAATAATTATTTCTATTTAATTTTTTGTATTAATTTTTAAAAAGATTATTAAAAAATATTTTTTCTTTTTAAATCACCCTATAAACTTAATTAAGATTTATCTAAAATTATAAGATTCTTTTTGTTCCTACTACAATAATAAATCGCAGTGGCACTTTTGTATAACAACGTGTAGGCGTTACGTTCCCTCTTGATTTTCTTCAAAAATCGATACTTTTTTTGACCACGAAACGGACAAAAAAATACGTGCATTGACGACGATTTCGGATACGATTTTAAGCGCAATTTTCACACTGTCGTCTCTCTAAACACTTTGACAGGGTTATCTATATTTTTAATATAAATGTACCGTGTCACCGTAGACGAGTCAGAGATTATATTTTGAACTTTTAACAACTTAGATTCCCCGACGTTTATTTTATTCGTCTCCCCGATGTTGAGGCCTGTTCCAAAACAAATGGAATAGAAAAAAAAACATTAATTTATTATTATTCATTTGAATGAAAATTAATTAAAAACACCCAACGTGTGGCACTACTACTGCAAAAAAAAATGTATATATAAAACGTTTAATGTAAAGCTGCGATTTAAATTGAGCAAATTAAATTTTATAAAAGTTATTAAAAAATATATATATGATACAAGTGATTCAAAAGTATATGTACTAAAATTCCATGTATTAAAACATCTATTTTTGATTAAATATTAATCAAATTTCAACAAGAATATTTTAAAGTGTACTGAAAGTAGCAAATTTATATTTTTAGCTTGATTTAGGTGTTTCATCAACGAATTATAACTTTTTTGATGCGATACATATCGATGAGCGACAAGAGCCTCTGAAAGCTTAACAAAATACAACATCAAAAGACGTTGAAAGAAGCAGATTCATGACGAGAAAACGTTACATTATTATACATATTAGAAAGAAGAATAAGGTATGTTAGTATGCCAAAAAAATTTTCTATAACAATTTAGAATGAACGAATTGAATCATGAAGTGCTGTTCTGTTCAAAGCAACTAAAATAAGAAATGCTACTTGTATTACAGATTACTAAAACACTTTAATATAAACGTAAGTATTAAATTATGTTCATATTGATTCAAGATGATATATTATTATACAGATGCAGAATTAGAATTATTAACACTAGTTGCATCCAACCACCTACTAATGAACAAACATCGCAACTTAACACATCAAATACAAGTAACTCATCTACTCAGCTTAATTTATAGAATCCAGGAGCGGAATCGAAAAAAAACAATAAAAAAACACAATTCTGAGGAACTAAAGACTAGAAGTAAGTCGTAGTTGGAAATCTAATATCAGATGTGATGTATTGCTATAGAACTGGAAAATTAAACGAATCTGTTAAACTAGAACTAACACTCGACCTAGAACTAGAAACTTTCGAGTTAAGCCGTGCGCCCTTTGAACAAATTTTTTACATTTTGGATGTTCACTTTGAACTTGTTTCTGAAGAAGATTGCAACATGTCATTCGAAACGTCAAACATTTTTTCAAAAGAGGCATGGCTTAACCAGAAAGTTTCTAGTTTTAGGTCTAGTGTTAGTTCTGTTTTAGTTTAATTAACACCGGCTAAGAAAGCCTTACTTATAAACGAATCTCCTCGTCAGTATAGCGACAGGGTTCTGGATGTATGCTATATTCATTTGATTTCTTCTCTCTATATTATAGTCGCTAAACAATGTTTCAAGCTGTATGGAAAAATGGGTAACTACACAATTAAGTCCTGTATTAATTAAGTAGCCACCACTGATTTTGTAACATTATTATAATTTTGGTTGCTTTGGCTTAACGATCGCGCTATGTCCAAACATATAAGCTTCGCTTACATTCGTATCCACAAGCCTTCATGAATATAGACGATGATTACCTCAACTCCTTAACATTATAATATCGATATGTCATCTTTGGACTGAACGCTTTTGACATCTTTCTATTTAACTCTATCTTTAGAGTGCTTCAATTTTAGATTAATCGGCGTGTTATTCGTTAGGTGGAGGCTCATTATACTGGTACTTCGATCAGGATCATTGTTGCCTAGCACGTTTAAACCCATTACTATACAGGACAACCCCTGCACTTATACAAGTTGAGAAAATTCAATTTTTCAGAAACAGAAACCCCGCAGAGTTACCAATCTCGATGATAGTACCATACTGAGGAACATTGTTTCTGCAATCTGATTATCTTTACATCGATGATCTGCATGAAGGATAAGACGATTACAATTATGGCACTTATTATTAGTATTCGCAGCATGAAAACTGCAAAAAAACTTAAGCTAGTAAGCGACTATTTTGAGCTATTCGAGTGTTATGGATCGTTGATATTTATCCTTGTCTTATGGCCAAGTTGTACTCGAACCTAAATATGCGCCTGATGATGTATTAAATATTCGAAACCAGTACCGTGTAAATATAAGTATTATAGCCAGTTTTAACTTTTTTCCATTCCAAGCACCAGATTTAATTTAACGCTTTATTTAGTAATTACGTAATTTAATGCCAAATTGAATTTTAGTTCATCAAAACATCTTATCGCAGTTTTAATTATTAGTACCAAAGAATGTGGCATGGAAGCTATCTCCTTTGGGATCTTTGTTGAATCGGTTTTCCCAAAGAATCTTAAACAAATTACTAGTTATCATTTTTCCAGTTAGTCCTTATTTTCATGTTATCTCCAAAATTCTGAAGATAAATTCCGTTTAAGACAAGGAATTGTGTTATGTAGACCTTGTGATTTGAACTTATTCGTTTTTGGCATTTGCAGATTGTATGTAAACATATTTCGTTATCATGTTTGACTTTTTACACATAACTAATCTTCTAGTTGAGCATTGCTAAACACATCAAACAATTTTGTGATGAAAGGAGTTCCAACTTGCACCATTTATTTTTTTAACATCTTTGTTGATGTCTCGATTAATCTTTCTGAAGTGATATATTAAATTTTTAATGTTGCTTAAAATGTGACCAATTGTATGCGTTATCAAGATTAACGTCATGTTAAACAATCAAATGACACCAAACGAGATTTATAAATGGCAACAATTGTAAATAAAAAACGTTCTTAGTAACACAATTGAAAAATGTGTTATTCAACCTTATTTAAAAAAGTCATAAAATTACGCTTTATGCGCTCTTAAAAGCGTATCAAAGCGTAAAATCGCATAAACGAAGAAATTAAGAAAACTATTCTTTCGTTTTGAACTGAGTTTTTTAACATGGAAGTTTCGCTTGATTCTTTTGAATCACTTGTAAAATAAAATAATTATTAAAACTAAAAATAAAATAAACAGCTAAAAAGACAACATCACACTATAAAACAACAATTTTTACTACTCATGCTATCCTTATCCTTAATTTTATGAACTTTGGTATATTTATTTTTGTTAACAACTTCAAGATCTTTATCTTTACTATTTGAGAACAGAATTTCACTATTATCTTCTTTACTTTCAACGAAACCACCTTCGTTTACGTTACTACAACTTTTCTGACTGTACGTTTCTTCTTTCCCATACCAATCATCATCACTTGAACTACAATAATCTTGTAACCTACCTATTGAAACAACACTTATTGTCGATTGCTTCTTTGAATTTGTTAATTCACTCATCGCCCTCGTCCGAAATAATTCTTTCGGAACCGCTTGTAATACAATATTAGTCGAAACCGATCGTTTCAAACATTGCGCTTTATCCAGTCTTAATATACTCTCCAATTTATTTTTTAATTCTTGCGGTGTAACCGATTTTCGTCTCAATTCTTTAACGTCCGCGTTATAATTCGGTTCGACGCATGGCGAACGAGAATCGGCGCTTTCTGGCGTGTAAGGATCGTGCGATAACATGTCTTTGGTGATTGGTTCATGCAACAATTTTGAGTCTACGGAAATATTCGTGTAGCTTTTGCGCGTGTTTAAATAATCGTTATCGCCGAAATCGATTACGCTTATAAATACGGAAGCGGAATTATTACAGCACACACAAGATACTAAAAACGGTTGCACGTGATCACAACACTTAATTGTACCTGCATTTGTTTGAAGTGATGTTTGTAAATAAACTGGCTGGAAAAAAAAGAAGATAAAGTTACTTTTTAAATTAAAATTAATTTAAAAAAAATTTAATTGATCTTTGTAAACATCTACACTATTTATACAGGGTTATTCAATCATGATTCAAAATCTCTTTATCAAATACGTATTACATGAATTTAGCAGCAAACTAATGTACAAACTTTTATGATGGATCGATTGATGAATGGCAGCAGGAAAATATGATGATAATAAAACATAACGTGGTGTTTCAATTTCAAGTTTCTGAATAATGTCATTCATTAATAACCCTATCTGTATAAGAGAAATTGAAACATTATTTGAACACCCTATAAAGGAGTATAATAAAGTAGTTTTTTTTAAGGGAAATCCTAAAAGATCATAAAAGTACCTGCTCATTCGGAAACCAACATGTGAAATTCCAAATAAACTGGCTGCATAGTGATAAGAAAGAGAGAAAAAAGTCAAAACTACAAATAGTTTAGTTCTCTTCCTTTCAAGACGGTTAGAATGGAAAAAACCTACCTTATGGTCTCCCATGCAAATATCCTTGCCCATCAAATTGTATTCGACTCCGTTTTCAACGTTTACTAACTGGCGAGCAGTTGTACTTAAAAGAACACGATCGCACCAAGCGGGGCATCTCGTTTGCATATATTTGGTCGCTTCTGATATGGTTTCTTCGAACGGATAGGACGGCGGAAAGGTCACTGGGAATTCAGTTAGGGATTCTTCAAAAGCTTCTAGTTCTTTATCGAAACTCTTTAACTTAAAAAGAATATTTTTAATATTAAATCTGTAATGTTGCATCAAACTTAACAGTTAAATACAAAATCAAAGATGTGATAACTCTTTAACAATGAAAATTATCGCCTAGTAAAAAAGTAAGCTTAAAATCTAATGAGAATCAAATGCGTCCTTTAACTCAGAAAAAAATTAAACACGTAATTATAATTTGCTAAACTCTGTTATAATTTATAATAAGTTTGTTTAAATAAACCGCAGATGTTGCACAATTATGTTCACATGTTATAGATAAGAATTGTCTGGGACGTTGAAATGACATCCCAGACGTCATGAAATAATCTAAAAATGAGAGCATTCCAAATTGTGGTAATTAGTTCATATTTAATCTGTCCAAAGTGACATTGAATGCTTTATCAACGTTAAACACATAAATATTTACATTATTATGATAATGCAAAGTTTACTAACCAGTATCATATCTGCTAAATAAAATATGTGTGTGAAGGAACGCAAAATAATACATGAATTAGTTATTTATAGTAAATTTATATCCGTCCCCAATTAGATCAACATTTTTACATAAAAGAAATGTAAAAAAATTCATCTTAAAGCGCAATGTAATATTTTTTTTTATTTATAAATTCATAATAAAGTCTTGCATCAAATTAGAGTTTATATTTATTTTTCTATATCTGTCAAATTGTTATAAAGTTGGTAAGATTCAGTTGGTAATTGATGTCATCTATACTCTGTTTTTAAACCAGGAGGAGTAAACGCGAAAGTCAGATTTACACTAGGAAAAATCACCAGAAAATATCACTAGATATTTTGGCGGTAAATTTAAATTAATAATTATTATTATTTATTTATTTACTTATTATTTTATTTATTTTCGTTTGTTATCGTCAACACTAAACATACAAATTAACATTGAAGTTATGAGTGTATTTATTTCAAAATATAATAAAGAAGGGTTTAAGAACACAAAATTTACAAGAATGACACGAAACTGTCGAATTGTCAATAACCTAACCTTCAAATTCAAAATCAAAATTCAAAATTGCCTGTGTGTGAACTTCCTCGCATTCAACCAATCACGTGCAAGGTCAATTTGGTGACAAACTGTAAACAAAACTAACCTTACCTAACATTCCTTCACGCTATAATTGACATTACAAAAGAAAACTTCACGCTATAATTGCCAAAGAAAACTTCATGGTATAATTAATGTTTGTAAACAAAACTAACCTTACCTAACATTCCTTCACGCTATAATTGACATTACAAAAGAAAACTTCACGCTATAATTGCCAAAGAAAACTTCATGGTATAATTAATGTTTGTAAACAAAACTAACCTTACCTAACATTCCTTCACGCTATAATTGACATTACAAAAGAAAACTTCACGCTATAATTGCCAAAGAAAACTTCATGGTATAATTAATGTTTGTAAACAAAACTAACCTTACCTAACATTCAGCGTCTGAAGACACAGGGCTAAACCCGAAACTTAAAAATATACAACTTAGCGCTGAATAACAATTAAAACTAGAACTAACACTTGCACTAGAACTATACTCTGTTTTTAAACCAGGAGGAGTAAACGCGAAAGTCAGATTTACACTAGGAAAAATCACCAGAAAATATCACTAGATATTTTGGCGGTAAATTTAAATTAATAATTATTATTTATTTATTTACTTATTATTGTATTTATTTTCGTTTGTTATCGTCAACACTATACATACAAATTAACATTGAAGTTATGAGTGTATTTATTTCAAAATATAATAAAGAAGGGTTTAAGAACACAAAATTTACAATAATGACACGAAACTGTCGAATTATCAATTAGCTAACCTTCAAATTCAAAATCAAAATTGCCTGTGTGTGAACCTTCCTCGCATTCAACCAATCTGGTGACAAATTTAAAATACTCCTCCTGGTTTAAAAACAGAGTATAGTTCTAGTGCAAGTGTTAGTTTTAGTTTTAATTGTTATTCAGTATAGTGAATACAGTAATAAATAATAAATCGATTACTAATAATTTTCACACGTGATTTTATTAAATAAACAAACCCATAAAAGCATGAATTTTATCAACTACTTTTATATTAAAACCAATACTATTTTACTACTAGAATGCAAAGCTGAAAGAAATTTACCAAACATTTTCATCGCCTGGTGCAGGAGTAGAAGTAATTGCAATAATTGTTCAAAACGAATGGTATTCTTTCTGTTAGCAGAGGAAAACACAAAAATACTTGATCTAAAAAAATGCAGAAAGATGTTATCCATATTAATATGTTGCTTCATCTATAATGATAAGCCAGACGCGTCAGAAATAAGAAAAGCTGTATACAGAAAGATTTTTGAAGAAAATTTTAATTTCATAAACCTCCATGAATACCAAATACATTGAGAATAGCCTTCAACCTAAAATTGCATCAAAAAATGATCGAACGTTATGTCTGGTCGGTGTTCTTATATGGAGTTAAGATCTGGACTCTAAAGGATACCAATGCTGCCATGATCAATCTGGAAGTTGCTGCATAGAAGAATGCTACGAATTCTCTGGTTAGCCATGACCAGGGAAGACTGATTGGAAGACAAATCATCCTGCACGCAGCACTTGAACAATCTATGTTTGGACACACCCTTAAATAGACCAAATGCCGTTAATGAATTTTAAAACCATTTAATAAGAAAAATATCATACCTAGGGAATATTCTTAGAGGATACTTAGATAGATACAAAATCCTTCAATCGAGACCGCAGGGTAATTGGAAAGAAAAAAATTTCATAGATAAAAAACATTCGTGATTAGAATCGAATAGGCAACTCGCCGATGTCATTGCCAACGTTGGAGGGAGCTGATATGGCATTGAAAGAAGAAGATAATGAAGTACTCAAAATAGTAACTCAAACGCAGGCACAATTAATTAAGCAATTGCGGATAATTGGAAGAGCTGAAACAAGAGTGACTTTGAATTAGTTCGGATTAAATACTGGAGGGAGATCAAAACTAGTTAAAATGACCTAGATTATCCTTGTACCAAGGATTTAATCACAGAACGTACCAAGACTATCAACAAGAATTTCAGATCATGGTTCATAACAAAAAGCATTTGGAATGATTCAACATATGAACAATATCTAACGATAAATTTTACAACTCTCGTCGTGCAGAGGAACGTCATAGGTATCACATGGTTATCATGTTATTACAAACTTTATAACTACTGTGTTAGATGTAAATAACGTCGTTCTCTTTTTTTCAACTTGGAATTCGACCACTTTTTCTCTACTTCATAAGCAGCATTGACAGTGTTCTTTTTTAAGTCACTTAGTTGTCATATTTACAAGACGTATTATTCTGCCTAACATAAAACACAAAAAACTATCCTGTAACAGTATTTCAAGTATCGTCACCAATCTAAGATATGCCCTCTGATACAAACTCATATCCTGCGTAGTGTGCAAAACACGAAGTTGATTAATTCTTGCAACAGTTTTTAATATACTGAAGACAAAAAAATGTTAATCACGCTAAAAATTTCGTGAAAACAAATTTGGTTAAGAAACTCATCTTTTTTAATAGATAAAATTCCGACATGCGAATAAAAGATTGTATACACATTTCAATAATAAATTAAACAATAGAATAACCACTGATTAACGTATGATAAATACAATTTTATCAAAATCGGTACCCACACTTCCGCACATGTAAAAATAATCAGCTCGGCTTATCAACAATACTGTTTGCGAGTAGCTTGTAAGGACAAAAAAATGTTCTATTTTGTTGTGTATCATTATTGAAATACAGCAAAAAAAAATTAATTATTTTAATTAGAAAATCCAAAAAATTTTAAACATTTAAAGCTGTTTCAATCGTTTAAGAACAATTAAAACCGCGTAAATCCCCGAAATGAGCCAACAAATCTTAAAAAATCCTCTAAAAATGATTTTTCAAAAAAATTATATCTCTTCTTAGGTAACGACATAAAATTTATGAATATTTTCGGGTTGTTTTTTATTTTAGCGACTTACCCAAGTTTCGGAAGGATATAAAAATACAGTTTGATGATCAGAATGATTAAACTCCTTCTTACCAACAGTCAAAACCAATTGGCTCTCGTCATTGGTGTATTGTAATTTTGTAAATTCATTATTTTTATTATTTTGTATTCGAGTAGCGTTCAGTCCTTCAGTCAATTTCTAAAAAAGAACAAAAAAATATTTTTTTCTAATCAATCAAAAACTATTTTTAATTTTGTTTTATTTACTTTTATAACACTATCTGTGTCAGTCCTAAAATTAAAATCTCCAAACAAAAAATATGGAACTCGTCCATAAGCGTCAGAATGAAACCTTTGCAATGTATGTTCTAAAGCTCGCCGTCGATTTTTACAATAAACAGATGGAAACGATTCCATAGCGACGAAATTTGAAGCGTCGTGAAAGAGATGGATGTTAACCAAATCGAAGATTGTACCTTGAATTGACCATCGCGTTCGCATAAAACCTTTCCGTGACCATTTACACTACAAAATAAAAAACCATTAAACCTAAATTAAGTGAATAAAGATATTAGAGTAAAATATTTACTTCCGGAAATAATTCCTGAGGAAACTTTGCTTTCTCTTTAGTAACGACTGCCTCGATATTTCCCGAATGAATTTCTTTTCCCGTCGCTGGTACAAATTCGAAATCTTTAAAATTATAAATTTGAACATCTTCTATTGATTCGTGGATAAAATAAAAATTTCCCAAAGCCTGAAAAAAATAAAATAACAACGTAAGGAATACGTTAAATAAAAAAATTTAAAGAGAATGTTAATTAGGTGTATTTTTTTGTAAAATAATAAAGGTTTTCATTGACGTAGCTTATAAATACATAAAGAGATAGATAACATTAATAATTTTATGGTCAATAAACAGGAACTAATTGCAACTGTTTAAAGAGATACTTAAATATAAATGTTACATAAACGTTCATTGATAGAATCCTATTCGGGGTATTCCCCGAGTTGTATATGATGTATAAATCAAGGACGATAGTTCTAGTTTTAATTGTTATTCAGTGCTAGATTGCTGTATATCTTTATACAACTGAAAGTAGAACTAACACTAGACCTAGAAGCTACACCCGTATGTTTCTAGTTCTCGGGTTAGTTCTAGTTTTACACTAGTACTATTACTATGTAGAACTCACACTATACTTAGAACTAGAATCATTTGGGTTTAGCCGCACGTCTCTTAAGACGGCTAAACCCGAATGATTCTAGTTCTAGGTATAGTTCTAGTTTTAGTTTTAATTGTTATTCAATGCTAGACTTTTGTATATTTTTATTGAACTAAAAGTAGAACTGACACTAGACTTAGAACTAAAAACATTCGGGTTTAGCCGTACGTCTCTTAAAACGGTTAAATCCGAATGTTTCTAGTTCTAGGTTTAGTGTTAGTTCTAATGGTAAATGTTTCGTCATGAAACGCACAGTACTAGAAATTTCCGAAATCGGCTGAAAAAATTAGTTGTTTAGAAATCAGATTTATTTATATACGTAGAAAACACTGCTTAGAATAAATTGGGGGAAATCTTATGATTTATTTTGTTCCAACCAATATTTCCAAAAACTATTTCTATTAATAACATCCTTTGGGATGTGTTGCGGATACTAGACAGGACGACGTTTTTAACACCCTAATTCAAACGAAATGCGATGCAGCAGGTTGTAAATCCCGCATAAAGACGATACAAAAGAAGAAAAAATAAACAATCTAAAATTGAAGTTTTTAAGTTGTATACATATATGTTAGTTACATCATGGGTTCTTGTTCATTTCTCTAAGGAAAAGTACCACTTTAGGATTTGAATGGTAAATAATGATGCTTACATTTCGGCGAGTATTAATAGAGTTGAATTCCTTGATTTCATTGAACTATGTGTCTTGGGAGGAAACACATACTTTGTTTGAAATTTCACTTTTTTTATATACTATGAAAACTTCGCATATAGGTTATGAGTTACACCGTTAAAGCTTACAGTTATTCCAAGATTAGAATTTAGTGGAACACATCTGTTGTGTCATTTATCAAGAAGTGGACTAAAAGCATTTAAATTAAAATGGAATAATCGTAGGGATTGATGCGTCTCATAAGATTGTGTTCGATTCGATTTCTAATTTATGCTTTAAAATTGCTTGTATGTAATATTATTACATAATATACTTTAAAAAAATATTTTTAATTTTGAAACTAAATAAAGTATTTTTATTGTATATTTATTATTAAGATATTTTTATCCAAGGTTAATCCCCTTTAATTGATACGGGCACAAAAAAAGGTTGGACTTATAATTATGTTTTGATACTACGGAGAAAATCTTATTTGTTATCTATACTTTTTACCTATATTACATATGATAAAAAAATTAAATTGCCACATATTTAGACTTATTTTTATTAATCAATTCTTTATTTGTTATTTGGCATTGTATTTTCAATACTCCGATTTTTTAATATTACAGCTTTATAAAACCAGAAAAAAGTAGACCTTCAAAACAACACCTAATACATAGAATAAATATGTTCTATCTATTTTTTTCTTCCTAAAAACCCACGGCAAAAGTTTCAATAATTAGTTTGCGAACTCTGACGTTAGTTAAATAGGCATAAATGGTTATTTTCTAGTAAATGGAATTTCCTAATGAACGTATAAAGCGATATCTTTTACCACGATATGAATAGTTATTATTTCTCATTAAAAAAATCTTTGGGACCTTACAAAAATGTTTTTAGAAAATGTAAAAACAATTCAAATAAAAAAAATTAATTACTAGTAGAATCGACAAACTGACAGCAAAAAACAAACTTGTTTTTAAAGAAACTGTTTTTTTTATAAATAAAACGACAAATTTAAGACAAACAGATATGCTGTAATAGGATACAATAAATAAAATTTCCAAATCAACAAAGCAATATAGTAACGTTACAAATGTTGAAACATATAATGTACAAACATTATTCATAAAACATTATTCAAAAAAAACATAATCCACAATTCCCGCAAATCCAGCTATAACCATTTCGTAATTACACAGCAAAAATCCCCAAAATCTCAAAATAGATGTTGAAATTGAGAATACCTCAAAAACCCAAAGTCCCAAAAGTCATCGTACACCAAAGATTTTTGCAAGATTTCTAAAATAGAATCGTATATAAGAGTTAACTTATATATCATAGTTATAATTATTTTATTTGGACGCATTTGTAAATAAAAAACACTTAAATTTAATCAAATATGAAAATAAATTAGCAATCTCATGAAAAGTCATCGTACAGCTGAAAACTGGCGGGAATTTCCCCATGTCTTTGTGAAGTACCGGATATTTCTCGTGCGGCTAACCTTACCAACCTTACCTAACCTACCAGAAATTACTTCAATACCGGAAATATTGAATTTTGGCCATCTAAAATTGCTGCATTAGAGAAGAAGTTATCGCTAATGCGCGGACAAGCGTCATAAAAATTGCCTTCAAAATCCAGTTAAAAAAAACTGTAAGTGCAGAAACTGTGAGAAGAGTTTTGCGATCTGCCGGCTATTTTGTGATTTGCGAAAGAAACCAAGTTGCAAAAATTCACAAAGAAAAGGATATGGATTTTTGGAATAGGGTGACATTTATAGACGAGTCAAAATACAACATGTTTAGATGTGATGGTAAGCTCTAGACTTAAAAATAATCTTCTACCAACAGTTAAACATGGGGGTGGATCAGTTATGGTATGGATATGTATGGCTACTTCAGGAGTCAGGAGTTCAGCAATATTTAAATATAATACTGGCGCCAGTCAGCTGGCACTAGTTTAGTTGCATCTGGAAATAACAAAAATCCATCGGCGCCAATAAACTGGCGCCAGTAATCATAGCGCCAATAAAGTTGACTGAACGTCTACTTTTTTTACGATTAAGTAGTATTGGAAAACGAGCAACTATATAACCCTGGGCGGTTATGCTTCGTCGAATCAACGACACATATTTAAAACGTATTGGAAAAAAAGTTGCTAATTTTGTGCTCGTTTTCCGTATTTGCTCTAGTCGTGGTCAAATTGTTGGTGTGTGCAGAAATGCAGCTAATAAATAACGCATCTCGTAACGACGAAGCATAGCTTTTGCGTAACTTTGGAATTTCCGAGATGCTTTATCTGATGTTTTTGTGTTGTTGTTTCTTGGTTAAAATATTTGGTTTATAAAACTGGAAAATGTAATGTGCACCAAAGTAACACAATCAAGAAAATGAATGACGAAATTGTTCTTGTCGAAAGTCAGGTAATAGATAGACTTGAAATACCAATATTACCTAACTCGGTGCGAAATAATATTGAAAATGTAATGCCCGTTGACGATGATTATACTAAACAAATAAAAAACCTAAAAAAGAAAGATTTGCGCCATTTGTCCCTCCTCTAATCGACGAATGATAAAATCATTCTGTTCGAAATGTTTTAAAAGTCGATGTAAAAAATAAAGCTTTGTCTCTTTTGTATATACTGCAACTAGTTTCTCATGAGGATGTGTTTGTATAACCTCTTTGAATAGTGCCTACGTCACGTACGTCAAAATAAGCATAACCTTCCGAAAATCTTGTACTAAACCGTCCAAAAAACGGACATCACAACAAATAATATACATAGTTTTTGGAAACATAAAATTCCAGAACATAAGAACCAAACTGGACGAAATGAAGCCTTAAGAAGGATAGTTGAGATTATGTCGAAAACAGTTCCCAATTTTGACGAAAACTCGGCAAAGGCAAAAATACGAATACCACAAGGTTTTAAATTTGTGCAGAAGTGGAGCATCAGCTGATGATGTGTATAATTATGACATAATATTATGTATATTCATGACATAGTTCTTTAATTAAAGTACCTAGGTAATTTCTACGTGCAATTCACGATCGAACGCAGCAGCTATGTTTTTTATTTGTTAATACCATGTGGAGTTCCAAAGAGCACATTTGCATTACTACAATGATGCCAGCACGAAGTACATCACTTGACGGCATTTTTATTACTGTGCTAGTACATAATTATCACATTTATGTGGAAACAACTTCTGGCGCCACTAAACTTGCTTCTTACTATCGCCAGTAATCAATGAATGTGGAAAGTTAGCTTTATATTGCCAAAATCAAATGTATTGTTAAAATCGACCATAACGCAAAAATTACTGACGATTGAGGATTACATTATATATGAATATTGCTTATAATGAACCAACAATATCGGTTGAAATAATAAACAAATAATAAACGTCAAATTCATAATCTTCTAAATATCTTGAAAATATTTTAGATCAAAGGATTGGCATGAATATTTCAAACAATGAGAATTCTAATTAGGGATTTCTTCCAAGAATTTTTAATATTACGTTTCGATTTAATTATAACTACATAAATAATTAAAAATTTTAATTCAATTTAAATTTAAAAGTAGTACCAACCTAATCAAAAAGTAACAAGAAAAAAATCTTAAATTAATTTTAGGTATTTGAGATATTAAAAAGTTTATTAACTAAGAAGTAAACTTAGAATAACAGTTATTAAATGAATAATTAACTTAAAAATAATTCTCAAAAAATATAGTTGGTGATGTTAATGAATAATAGTAAATTGGTAATCCTGAAGGATTAAAACCAATTTTAAAAACATAACCTATCTACTTTGACAGACTATGAAAACAAAAATTTTTAAAAATGGTTAAACTTACAGTGAAATTTTCTGCAGAACTATAGTCTTCATCAAGATAAACTCTAACCTTATCAAAGAGTCTAAGTTCACTGCTGGACATTAAAAGGCTAACAAACTCTTCGACATGTTTCATACTATTTTCATAGTTCTTGCCACCAACTTCCTGGCAATGTAATGCAATAAATTTTGGATTTAATGAAGAGACAGTAGATAGGAAAGTATCCGTCCAAATCCTAAGCATTTGCGAAGGCTACAAAAAGAAAAAAAATTCCAACTAAGTAATTGATAATTAATTATAATTTTTAGACTTACATCTTCGAATATCGAACCCACATTAGCGGTGACTAGTAGACTAGGTATAGTTTGAGTGGTCATCTTCTAAATAAATAGGAAAATAACCGTTGTTTTGGACTAGGTTAAAAAGAAACTTTTTGAAGAAACTACTAAACTTAAATGTCAATTAATTTAAGGTCTATTTGTTACATTTCGAACGTTTCCTGAGTACATCTTTCACCATCGTTTCGTTTCGCTTCCTTTCCAGTTCTATTTATATACTTATTTACACGTTTTTTTATATTTATTTTATTTTCTCTTTACTCTTTTAGTGTCAATCCAAATTGTACAGTCTTTTGTAAATGAGTATTTTGTGGTTTGATGCGCGCGCACTTCCCATGTGCGTCAATGTATTGATCAATTAAAATACAAAGTCACGTTCAATACACACCGCACTCACCACGCACGACCGCGACGGTCGCGGTATTGTTGAATTTTATTGTCAGAGCCCGAACGCGTACACATTATTATTATGACTCGAATCGAACGTCTACGCCGACGACGACGAGTGTAATAACAGAACTATTCAAAGTCGGCCCCCACTATTTTACCGTCAATTCGGAAACCACCAACAACAAAATTATACGTAATACGTTTCCCGAAATATAACGATATTTCGGGGGACAAATAAAATTATCGAATTGTAAACATATTTTCCCCACTGTGAACTCGTCTGGTGTATTTTTAAAGGTGGTGTTCTTTTGGTTGCGGAACTATTCGCTAAAAAAATACTTTTTTTAACCCAAGGAGAACGATTTTACAAAATTTATAAATAAGAAACTTTATTTTGTATATTTTCGAGTGTGCGTCTTCAAAATAATCAACCTACACCTAACATCCGTTTCTGTATCTGCCGCCGTTGCGGTTGGTTTAATTATAGGTTCAACGAATTAATTTATACAAACAAAGTGCCGCGAAATGTGTGCGAGAACCTTTACTAATTTCCTAATCGTTTATTTTGCGTTTATTTCGGTTTTAAACGTTAAAGGAGAAAACGTTTTGGTGACTGAAGTATTTGAAATTGTTATTAATCCGTCGATGTTTAATTGGACCTATGAAGGTACGTTGATTGATTAATATACAGTTTCATTATGTAATTAAAAAATTGTATATTTTATGTTAATTTATTTGAGTGTTATAAATAAGTTTTCAGTGTAACATTTGCGTGCTACACTAATATGGTACTACTCATGTCATGCTTCGTACAATACATTTATTGTTGTACTGCAAAGACTACCTACTTTAGAGTACTACATTAATACGCGCTGCAAAGATTTTGTGCTACATACTAATTCAGTCATGCTAATCTAAATTCAATGTCAAAATTCCTTGTTGAGTTGCAACAAATTTCTTTTTTGTTGACACCAATTTGTTTATAACACTCTTATTATTATTATTGTTGCAAAGTCGACAAGTTTGATCCTCAGCCATAGCCGGTCAGGAAACCTGGGAGCGTCTTTAGATCCCCTTTGCTGAGGCATAAAACCTCTTCGCTTATCTGTGAACCTGGAAGTTCTTCCCAGCGTCAGGCTACCTTTGAGGCCTCCCAACTGTTGATTACTTGTTTTACGTGGCTTTTTTGTAGGCCACAACCGGGTTGTCGTCCAACGAAGGGCGTTGAGTATTATCAATGTGTTTGTGACCTGGAACCCACCATAGAATAACATCATTGTTCCTAGCGAGTTCTCTGTGTGCTGGTACACTTTCTGATGAGTGTGGGGTCACACGTGTAGGCCTGAATTGCCTTTAGGGCGGCTCGACTGTCTGTGAAAATGTTTATGCACCTTTCTGTCCCTTTTGTAGGTTCAAAGCGGTGCCGAAGTTTATAGTAAGAACTTCTGCTTGAAAAATGGTTATATCCAAGCTGAGAAGCAATTTAATTCGGCTATTTGGTCCACTAATGCCCATGCCTACTCCGGATCCAACTGTCTTTGAAGCATCCGTGTACCAGACAAGGACTCCTCTTTTTAGTTAAGGCCCACCCTCCGTCCAATCATCCCTGCTTCTAAATATGTCCTTATACGGCTGGTCGAAATTGTATTCTGTCGGTATAAGGTCCGTTTTAATTTCAATCAAGCGATTTAGACATGGGTCGTTGAGGATTTCGATGTGTCCTCTGAGGTTGCCCTGCATCAGCTTGAGTGAAGAGCATGTTTTGTGATAAGACACTTAAAGCTGCCTCCTTTTGTGTACATACATGAAGTGGTGTGAGACCGAGTATGGCTTCAAGAGCAGCCGTTGGACAAGATCTCGTCGGACAATGAGGTGCCGATCTGGTTAGCCATAATGGCCTTTTTTCTCACCATGTCACTATGTCCAGTTTAATTTATTGTCTATTATTACCCCTACGTATTTAACTTCTGTTTTGAGGTTATAACACTAACTCCACATTGTAAATATGAAGATAACATAAAACTAGGTACGCAGCAACTAGATATTTTGGCATCGAGGCATATGTTTATCTATAATATTTGAAAGATTAGATTCTTATACATTTAATTCCAACAATCGAAGTGTTATTTTTAATACATTGATGATCTTTTCTAGGTGTTGCACAATTTTTTTATAAATTATTTTTTATTTATTCTGGATTGTTCTAAAAATCGTTATTATTATTGTTTTACAAAATAGATAATATAATAGGGCACTGGAAAGAGAAAAGACAGTCAAAAGAAAACGATAAAGCCTTTTTCATTCTCGTGTCGAGGAGCTTTTTCGGCACAGACGAGAAAGCCTGAAAAGGCAAGACGGGGACCAGAATAAGAAAAAAGGATTGGGTAGGAAAGAGATTGCAGAACATGGACTAGAAAGAATAAAATTAGGAAAGAAATTGGTAATAGAGAAACGAGACTGAAGGAGCAAGAAAGAAATTAGGCAGAGCAGTGAAATGTTGAAAAGAAATCGTTGTTAAAAGGTTGAACAACAACAGAGAAAAAGGAAACCGTTAAGGCAATATGGGCACTAGACAGAGAGTGGGAAAACATCCCAGAAGTCTAGTGGATAGTCATTGTTTTTCTATTATCAAGTCCATAATAAAAATCTGTATACATATTCATATTTTGTATTTTTCTGGATGTAATTCTGAGACTTAAATTTAAATTACGGAGTGTCACAAAAGTCCGGTAGCACGGTATTTCTGTTGACAAAAACGGAAGCACAAAGAGACATCAAATTTGTGCAACCACAGTAGCGGAGGTACTCGACGTCGAGATCTTCCCATGCTTTCTAAAAGGCGCGCTTTAGTCAGGCGAGATTTTTGAGGGGAGTAGCAAAGGCCTTACTATCAACTACCACACAGAAAAATCGAGAGGGTTCAAATTAGGCGAGTAGGATGGCCACCCCATGGAGGCCATGGCTGTTGGAATGTCCAGAGGTATCCGTTGAAGTGAGACTTCATCAGAATATCATCAAGATAGTTCTGGGAGTTGATCGTGACCCTCTGATCCAAAAAAATCAGCTTAATCGCCATGGTAGGAGTCACAGTAGTTTTTGGTCTTCCACTTCTAGGACGATCCTTGATTTTTTTTTGTGTAATTCACCGCAAAGTTATTTATGTAGTGTGTTTAGAAATTACTTTCTAATAACCATAATTTGGGTTCTCCGCAATATGTATGGAAAACTAATGGAGAACTACTGTTGTTTTTGGGGCCCTTCCACTACAATTTTTCTTTGTTCATTGCATTCCTCTTTTTCTATCCATGGTTTACACCAAAAGATTTTTTAAACAATTTGCCTGTGTTTCTTCGTTCATAAATTATCTCCCTCTAGTTCCATGGCAATTATTTTTTGCAACAACGCCAAAACAATTAAGAATAATTACAAAATGATACGTGGTTGTAGATACTTACGTGGATATGACATAAACCTAATGATGTTTTCTGAGCTATATATTGTTGTTTTCTGAAAAAATAACAAATTTAGAGGCACTCATTGTTTAATTTGCCTTTGAAGATCTACCCTTTTTACTTTTTTCAAAAACATCTTGAAGCAGCATCTAAAACATAGTCTCATAATCATTTTCTAATTTAGGCTAAACGATATTCTAAAATGAGAAGAAGTTAAAAAACTTAATGTTGCAGATTAATAGAAATGTATCATTTGATAGGTTCCTTTCTAAACTTCTTAGAGTTGCAACTGTACATAGTTGATACAAGTACATTGTATACTCAGTATACATAGCAGGTTTGAGTGTCAGGCAAGATTTTAAATGGAAATCGCTTGAAATCATACTACAATAATTTTTTCCATACAATGGAATTGATCGCAATGTTGGCAGAAAAATAAAAATGTTTTCAACAGGCTTTAATAGTATTAAATAAAAAAATACAAATTTTTGTTGTATAATTAATTTATATCCATTCTTTTTGATTATTTAAACAGGTGATCCTCCTGATCAATTTGTTTACCAACCATCTCTATTAGACGCCCCAGATTTACCATCATGGATAAACTACGTTTACAGCAACAAACACCACGTAGGTTACCTTTATGGAGTTCCACCAGAGAAAGAACAACACATCATTTTAGAAATAATCGCTTTAAATCGAAACACCTACGAAACAAAACGTGTCGTCCTACCAATTTACATCACCCAAAAACGATACCCCGCCAAATACGAGGTTCAATTAAAAATTGACAATTTAAATGTTGAAGATATGTTCGATGTGGAAAGAATGGAAAGATTAAAAGATGTTTTTCGGAAACAATTGTGGAAGGATAGTGACGAAGATTTGTATGTTACCTTTTTGGCTTCCGCTATTGAATTAGGTGCTAGGTTACCACTAAACCCAAAAGAAGGAGAAGGGTAAAAAAAGATATTTATAATATAACTATTTTAACTAATTTTTGATCGATTAGGGTTGTTTTAAGACTTGGAAGTCAATCGCCATTATCGATGGAATTACAAGAACTTCAAGAGGAAGTTAAACCATTATGGAAAAGAGTTTCTTGCCCAAGAGATTATAAAAGGACAACTGTTGAGAGGTTTTTTAGAGATGCTGGATTTGTTTTGGATTGGTGCGCTTTTAGACTGGTTAGTTTTTATTTAAGTTGTTAAGTTTAGTTTAAAAACGTTAATAATTTTCTTTGTAGTTGGATGATAACAGCTCTGCAATGCAACATTCCCAAGAAAAAGTCGAAAATCCTTCTTCCTTATTAGAACAAAAACTTCCCGATAATAAATGGGTAGGAATCGCGCGAAAAGACGTCCCCCAAAGAAACTACACCCACGAGTTTTTGGTCACTATCTTAGTCCCAATGTTCATAATGACTTTATTAGCGATTATTTTATCGTTGATTTTGTGTTTCCATCATGAAGGAATGTAAGTATTTATTTTATAAACTTTATTAAAGGATTTTCCTAAAAAAGTGATATAAATTCGTAATTATAGCGATGATCCTTTGAGTGAAGAATTTTTTGATAATTTATATCATATTTGTACCGATTATTTCAGGTAAAAAACGGTTTTAATTGGTTTGATTCGATTTCGTTTAAAAAAAAACTTAGTTTGATTTAAATTCTGTTTGGTTTGAGCTCAGTTTGGTTTGACGCAAATGTATTAAGAGTTTAGAATTATAATTAACTCACTCACCTTAACAAGAAAACAAAAGGCTTAAAGATAATAATCTTCAAGTATTTGATTTCGTCAACTTTAACCATTTTAACGCAATATAAAATAGATGGGTTTTTTCAACATTGTTTTCTTAACAAAGTTTAGCTACAATTGAGGATGTCTAATTAAAAGCTAATTTTTTTATAGCTCAAAAGAAATGGTGCACGTCCCGATAGGTGAAATGACTCAATATGCAACAATAAATAGGGTTACATACACATTAAGAAGTCTTTCGAATCAACGAGATTTCGCTTGTTTGTCACCTGAGATGTATGCGGGAGTTCGAAGCCATACCAATAGTCCTACTTCAACTATAAGTAGGGGTGTTCATTGTCGTCCAAGTCCACCACCATACGTAAAACCAAAATTTTCTGCCGAATTCTGACGTGAAAAGAAACCAGGTAAAACCTGGTATTGTTAATGTTTATAGTTTTAGACATGATTTATCAAATTTGAACTAGTAATGACATATATTATAAAATGGCAATAATCTTGTATGTAATCTGAACTATAAAATTAATGAAATTAATAATATCTTGTTATTATTTAAAAAAATCATGTATTACTAAACCTAGTCATGTTTATTAGGGAGTCATTATAATAAGTATTAAATAAACAAAAATTATTATGAAAAATTTTTTAATTTAAAATGATTGCTCTACAAATTACCTCTTTTTATTTCGTTTTTCGTTTCCTTCTTGTTTTCTTTGGTCCATCTCCATCATCACCTGAATCATCATCGCGATTCCATTCCTTTTTCAATTCTTGTAACATATTTGGTGTTAAAAGGCCTTGAGCTAATAATCTTTCTGTTAATCTTCCTCCACCTAAATTTGTTTTTCTGTTCCCTATAATAATAAAATAATCCTTCAATATATGATATTTCATATCTCTAACCATGGTTTTTATTAAATTTTACAAATTTCTTCCTAACTTTAATTTACTAGAATTTGTGAAATCATATTTAGCAAAAACAACAAACCTCTTAAATAATTTTGTTTTTTTCGATGAGCTGCATAATCCTCATCATCAGGAGTAGCCCCAGTTCCAGAACTATAACCGCTTTCTGAGTTCTTTAAAAGTCTCGTTATTTGAATAACTCCTTGTTGAATAACCAAATCTAATTCTTTTTGCATATCCCTAACTAAATCGGCTTCGCCAAATAAATCCATAAATCTATAACTGAACCATAAGTACAAATCGAGAACGTCGAAAACTGATTCTAAATGAACCAAGTCTATGATTGTTTTTGGAGTTTGTAGGGGCCAGCCGATGTTTCTGCAAAGCCAATCGAAAGTTATTGGATCGTTTCGACTGTATTGACGAGCAAACTAAAAAATAAAAAATATTATATATATATTTATTAATTAATACTCCCTCCGTCCAGAAATAAGTGTCTGATATCGATTTTTTTTTCAAAAATTAAGTTTTTCACTGCCATTAAAACGTTTTGTAATTTTTCCTATAGTATAAATTTTTAATCAAAAAAACGCGACTTTTTAAGACCTCACCTAAAGATCTGGTTTAAGAAAATAATGGAATAGAGGAAAACCATTTTGACAACAAACGGTCATAAAAGACAAAACTTAAGTCCCAACACAAGGCAAGTCGTTTATCATGCGTTACTGGAATTGAGTAAGAATAGCAAACTGAAACAAGACTCAATTAAGATGAGCGAACAAATTTAACATTTCCGTAAAAACTGTAAGCCGAATTTGGCATCTAGCCCGAAAATCGTTAGTTATTGTCTGCCAATGCATAAACCAGAAAGTTTAAATGCAAAAGAAATGGCGTTACCTCACACAAACAGCTCAGATGTATTACCTAGTTGAGGACGAAGAGGAACCACACAGTACTTGCAAAAGTAAGCGTTTTCTTACAAAAGTAATATTCTTAGCCGCTGTCGTTCGTCCAGGTTGGAATCATTCTGAAAACAAGAACTTTCATGGAAAACTTGGCATTTTGTGTTTTTGGAACCTGCTAAACGGAGCGTTTTCGGTCAGCTAGGACCACTAAAACGAAAGTGGCTTCTAATGTGGCTAGACAAGAGTATAAGAACATGATTATTGGAAAAATGTTGTCCAAAATTCAAGCAAAATGGCCAAGATCCGATCGTCGCCAAACAATTTGGACCTAGCAAGACAACGCTAAACCACACATTCTTCCTACATTGTCAAAATTTATTTTATTTTTGGGGAAAAAAGTAAAAAACCATGAAAGAAGATGGAGGCAACAATTACAAAGTGTGGCATGAATAAAGATCATTTACAGAGAATGAGTAGGCTTCCAATTTCTATAAATTTTAATTTTGGGCTTTATCAACATGGAAAAGACATCATCAATTCAGTTTAAATGCTTAAAGGACCGCCAACGGTTCTTAAAAACGATATTTGTAGTTAAGTTTCAATAAATTAATTTTTAAGTAAATCTGACACTTATTTTTGGACAAAAAAAATCGATATTGTACTTATTTTTGGACTGAGGGAGTAATTTAATTATTTAATACTAACCTTCAAGAACATTGTGCAAACAAACGGCATCTTTTTATTGATTGGTGCGCAACAAAAAACGTAGCGAGCTCTTAAAGGAAGCGGAACATGTTGAATCATATCAGCAAGGAATTTAAAATCTTCAATGTTGCACATAAAATATAGGGATGCATCCACAGTTGAGAGATTCACGAAGATGTCCTTAAAATATATTAATTTAATAAAAACTAACAATTTTAATAAAATTTATACCATTAAATTTGAAAGTGTTGAATTTGGTAAATGATAAGCATACAGTTCGATTTGATCGGCTGTTGGATGTAAACCAGCTTGTGTAATTGGTTCAGGTTGTTGTGAAAGTATATTTTTTAATGTTGGAAGATCTTCTGGTTTAAAAGTTGTTACTAAACCATTTTCCCATTGCGTTCCATACCTAAAAGTTAAGATAATAACATTTTTATGCCTTTAACAGATACATTTTTATTTCAAATCTGGACACTGATTTGTAATACAATCAGTCTTTGTAATACAATTTAGTTACCTTCCAGCTCTACCAGCAATTTGTAAAGCTGAAGAAACCGAAATAGTATCCATTTCCTTCTCCCCTTTTTCATTAACACAAGGTTTAATTAAAGAGTAAAATATAATTCTTCGTATACTCCTAAAAATACATCACATTAATCCCAAAAACATAACAGAAATGTTCAAACATACAAGTTCAATCCCATTCCAATAGCATCAGTTGCAACTAATATTTTACAACTATTATTAGGATCATTAAATTTTGCAGCTTGAGCTAATTTTGTTCCAGGTGGTAATCCCCCATATATAACAGCTACTTCTTTTCCAGTTGCTTCAATTCCTCTGGATACTGAATAAATGTCGTTTTTGCTAAAGCAAACGATGCAATCACCAGGTTGTACATTGTCTAAACTTCCCAAAGCGGTGTCTTCTGTTTTTAATTCTGTTAATCTTTTATATTTTCTTACTTCCACATCTTCACCACATGTTAAGCAAAGTTGTTGGATTAAATCTATTGTTCCAGCTTCACCACATAAATGAATTTCTTCTGCCATTATTCCTAAAAGAGCTCTAGTCCAAGCCCATCCCCTTCCTGGATCTTTAATCATTTGAATTTCATCTATTACAGCTACTTCATCTAATAAAAAACTGTTTATTATTTAATACAATAATATCTTCAATAATTTTTTACAAGGAACATTAATTGATGCCATTTCAACTGTACATGCAACATGTCCTGATGGATTTCCTGAAGGATCAGCATAACTTCGTTCTTCACCGGTGACTAAATCACAAGGAGTACCCTAAAACCACAACAAATATTATTTATTTAAATTAAACCAAAAATAAAAAAAAATCACCCTTCCATTGCATTTATTAAATACTTCAGATGCTAACAGCTTTAATGGTCCACAATAAACACCAGATTTTGCTGAAATATATCTTTCTAAAGCATGATAAGTTTTTCCTGAATTTGTAGGACCAGCATGGAAAACAATTTTTCTAGTAATAGCCCTAGCTTGGGGATACCAATTTGGAGGAGATCGCAAATCGGAAATTTTTTTTAAATCGTCCATACAATCAAGGTGAGGAAAAGTTTGTTTTGCATGTCGTAAAAAGTAAGGGAAAATGTCTGTTACATGTCCTGCACCTTGAAGAATATCACTTATCACCACATGAAGATCGACTGGTAAATTTTTTGCTTCCAAACAGTACCTTCGAAAGCTAACATAAGCTTGGTGTTGCAAATAATCTAAAAATGTTGTTTAATAAGATTTTTTTTTAATTTCTAAATCCTTTACTTACTATCTAATCCATTATCCGTTAAAAGTTGCTTAATGTCTTTTCTCTGGTAAAATTTATTTAAAACCTTTAATAAATCCGCTTTATTTAAAGTCCCTGTCAGTTCAGCTCCTACATTTATATCGTCCGGATTCGGTTTCACCGGAACCGGTATAAATAGTGACGAAATGTTCCCTGAATCATCTTTTTTACCTCTGGTTTGTTGAATATATTTGCTGGTTGATATCAAAGAAGCAGCTTTCAAAATATTATTTATTTGTAAATTCTGTAAATTTTGACTTAATGAACACACCGACCGAATAGTCCTTGTTGTTTGTAACATATTTTATCGTTTCTTTATTAAACATGCATTAAATATTTCTTTTTTGAGGTTATGTTCGTTATGTAAGGTTATGTTTGAAATTGTCAATTCCTGTTTTAACAACAAATTTTTTTCAAATCTCATAGAATTTTTTTAAGTTATTGTTAATTTTAAATTATAACTAAAAAAATTATATTAAATATATAATCAAAAATGTTTTAGTCTATATTTAAAATCATTAAATATTTTTACGGATTTAATCTTTTAATTTATAATTTCGCACTAGCGCCATCTTTTGTTGGGTAGCTATTTTAATTAGAATATTTAAATTAATTCAAACTTTCGATATTGTTGATAGGTAATAATAAGAATTCTAATAAATATTAATATTTATAAAATATTGTATACAAAACTGTGATTAACGTTTCATAAGAAAAATAACCTTACTGCACATTCTTTCAAAAGGTGATTGACGTTTCAAATAAAAACTAACCTTAAGGCTCGTTTACACGCTTAAGTCAGTTTGCACAATCAATAGTTGTGTGTGAACGCTGGTTTGAAGCCAGTTTTGAGCATATTGCTTAAATCTGTAAATGGTAGTTCTAGCCATTTTCTCTATATGCAGATGCAAAGGAGATAGGCCAAGTAGAACATCCATTGCTAGAATTGCCTTTGTGCTTATCGCACCACAGATTGCCAATCCAGCTACTCGTTGAATTCGTGAAAGATAACTGATAACTGAGGTCTTTCCTATACCAGGCTGCCACTCCATATGTTATCATAGGTCTAACCATCAATCATATAGAACCAGTACAGTCTTTCAGGGGTAAGACCTTACGCAATATTTTTTACCTGGATAATTGACATTTCTACAGAAAACGAACCTATATGACTAGGAACGTTTATTTTCTAAGGACTAGTGTGAGTTCCAATGCGAGTTCTAGTTTTAATTGTTAGTCAAAAGACTATTGTATATTCTATTGAACTAAAGCTGGATGTTTCTGGTTCTAAGTGTAGTGTTAGTGATAGACCTAGTGTTAGTTCTAGTTATTTTATATAAAGAAATGTTAAACAATTTAGTTTATAAATTATTCTTTCTCTTAAAAGATTCTTTGAAACTAAAAAAGATTAACTTTTAAAGTTGATATTTTAAGTAGATAAGTACATGTCCTTGCACAACTTTTAAAACTTTTTAATCTGAGCAATTTTCAAATCATCACGATATAAAAGCTTCAATTCAATAACTTAAATTGATTATCCAATTGTTACAATGGAGCGTAAAAATGTGTATGAAGGTACTTTAATGGAATATTGTTTTAAAATGCAACATATTTGTGGGGTTGATCCAAAACGCCAAGATTTTTGGAGTCACTTAAGGACGACTCTTTTCTCTGTTCAAATGATTTTTGGAATCATTTTAATCACAATTGACGTCTTTTTAGATTGGAATGGATTAGAGAGTTTAGAAAAAGCTTCTTTATTACCAGTTTTTATCCAGGTAATACAAAAATGAAACTTTACAGTTTAAAAAAAAAAATTTGTTTTTAGGTTTTTATAAAATTCATGTTTATTAAAGTAGCTTCAAAATCCCTTCGAAGTTTATTAAACCAAATCGAAAATTTCTGGCCGAGGGATTACTTAGGAAAAGAAGTTCAAGAAAAAATAAACTCAATCCATGTTAAATCACGAAAAATATTTTTAGCATATTTTTGGTCGTGCTTATTTTGCGTGAGCATTTCTTTAGCGATGCCTGCTTTTTCTGGTTTTAAGACACTTCCAACGAATTGGTATTTACTTTGCGATTTAAACAACACCATTTGTTACACTGTTAATTATCTTGATTTAATCGTCGATGAATTTATGTCCGCTTTTTGTCCTGTTATTTACGAAGCAACGTTTATCGCTTGGATTACATTTGCTTATTGTGAATTTGAAATGGTTAAGTACGCTGTAGAACAGCTTCAAATCGATGAAAGAATCAGTGAAGATAAGATATTGAGAGAAATCACTAAAATTTCGGCTCATCATGATAAAGTTTTAAGGTAACAACATTTTTAGTAAAATCTGAATCAATTAATTTTAATGTTTTAGATTTTCAAACGATCTTCGTGATAACTACTCAATGCAACTTTTATATCACTATTTTTTGAATATGATCGCAATTTTTTACAGTATAGTTATGGGAATGCCTAAAGGGTATTTGTTTTTAAATATGCCTCTTAATAAATTAAGAAAACTAAAAATGTTGCAGATTTCCACCTGATTTCGATCATTTTACACGATTTGGGAACTTATTAATTTGTACTTTATATCAAAGTGCTGTTTTTTGTGCTGGTGGTTCAATTTTACTTGAAGAAGTAATACTTAATTAATTTTTCTTTTAAATTGATTTAAATGCATTTTTAGAGTATCACCGTCGCTGAATCTTTCTACAACATTAATTGGTACATTCGAACTTATCCAAAGATTCGACGAACCTTATCTTTTATGATACAAAGAGCACAGGAACCCGCAAAATTAACCATTGGAAAAACAAATACGATTAATCTTGAAACGTTTGTTTCTGTACGAAATATTACACTTTAGATGAATAATAAGATTTAATCTATTCTATTATTTTAGATTGTTAGAAATGCTTTTTCTTGTGTAACATTGTTAAATTCAGTTTATGGAAGAGAAGAAAATGATTAAGTCTTTTATGCTCACTCTTATATTTTCTTGTACTAATAATAAAAATTGTTTAGTATTTCTTTTTTAATTAATAAATATAATTTTATTGTATGAAAACAATATACGTTTTCCGTAAAAACCGGTTGTTTCTACCAGTTTATTTTCATTAAAAGATAATATTAATTTTTAGAGAAATTTTTTCAATACTTTGAACAATTTTAAGAGTTGTTCTATCTGGTTTTAAGGTTTTTTACAAGTTGTTTCCACCAGTTTCTACGAAAAAAGTTGGTAAAGGCGGGCTTAGCGTCGCAGGCCAAGAGTTGGCGAGTTTACTGCGCCACTGAGAACAAGTATCATTTCATTACAAGTGTGCCGTATTCAGTATCGTCAGTATTGTTTGTTATTGTCAATACCACAAAAAAGAACACGTAAATATAATATTTAAATTTGTACGATGTCGGAAAATAAATATGTTTATTACAATTGCGGAAAATCGAGGCGTACTAATCCCGATTTAAAACTGTATACATTTCCTCGCGATGAGGAACGTTGCCAAACATGGGCACAAGATTCAGGTTAGTAATGAAGTAGCTTTACTTAATTTTTAGTCATTAAAGAATTATTATTAGTGCTTGGACTCTTAAAACTTTTTTGGTGCTACATTATTATTAATTGTGACAGTTTATTAATCGTGAAAAGTCATGACAGCTAGTTTATTTGCTTTAAATATTGTGATAATTTTAACATTCTCTTAGTTCACCGAGAGAACATAACCTAGAATTTGTGACAGAGAGAATTATTATAGTTCAGCTCCTAAAGCACATTTTTCATCCATCTTTTGAGGTTTTAACGTTATTTTGAGGAAGAAATCCTTGATTTAAATTTGAATTTTTCTAACTTTACTCATTGTTGAAATTTGGCGTGTACTCCAATGTATGTCTAAAAACAAGAAAAGACAACGTTGAATACGAAGTTTTATTACGTTTCATAAAGGAATAAGGGAGAAATCAACGAAAAAAGAATTAAATTTTGAAGGTTAATTCCGAGAAAAATCAAGAGATGACGCTAGTTTCGAAGCAAGAATTTTGAATTTTGAAAAGGGCGCGAAGCTAAGAGCCAATCAGAAACGAGGAAAAAAACAGTTGAGTGCCGCGGTATATAAGGAGATCGCGAACAGGGAGTGAGAGGTGGTGAGAGGGTCGTCATCGGACCAGCATCGAATCCACGTCGTAAAATGGAAGAAATATTGAATCTCAAGAGATAACCTCAAAAATTTAAGTTATTTTTTTTAAGTCAAATCAACTTACGATATTAAAATAAAAAGAGAATCATCCTACAACCTATTCCGAGAACTACTGATACTTCTTCGAGATCATCCAAGACCCTATTTCCGAACAACAAACAGTTCAATTTCCCGTAAGAAGAATCCTGTAGACAATCCAGAAAATTAGTTAGTGCCCCGAACACAAGAGACAATCCATAATCCAGATACCACATTGAACTCCAATCCTTTCTTTTTCACAGTGAGTCGGATGATAATTTTATTTTATTATTTAACATAACCTACAAAAAGAAAAATCAAAGAATCAAACTCAAAGAACAACTCACAAGAGTTTCCTATAATTTTGATCAATACTTACTTGTGGGTAAAGATTTATTAGTTTTCTTGAATAACGTTCATTTATTTAATTCTATTTTTCTTCAACGAGTTTGATGACAACTTAAGACATCGGC